AATAATTATACATGCCATAATTCTTAATTATATAACATCTAATTATACATGCTATAATTCTTAATTATATAACTCTCAATCTACTACTCCCAAATTAGTCACTTCTACTTTGATAGTACTCTTCAAGTCTTAAAGTAGCAACCACGATCTTCAACCTACGCGTGATAACAATCGACGCGCTGGGTATAAAACTCAGTGGTGCTCATAATTCACATACTTAACAAAGTGCGATGGCAATTTACTTAAAATACACATTTCATAAAATCATTGATACTCTTAGAATCATTAAATTTCAACATAAATGTATCTTTATACTGAAGAATAAACTTCTAATTCAAAACATAAATAATTGAGTTCTAATTATCTCATAACTCCTTTACATGAACCTATAATCACACATATCATGATACTATCATGATCTTACCTGCTGTTCATTATCATGATCTTACCCTAAGTACTGATTCATTCACTTGCATGATCGAATTTACACAAATAAAACATGTAAGAAACATAAACAGCATATATTTACATTCGTTTACTTGCTGTTCATTATGCTGTATGGACTTAATGCACTTTTTAGGTCACCATCATATAAGTTATGATTTAATAAAATTCTCATAACTGTATGGCTCCTTAAGAATAAATTAAATTAAACTTGTAAGCATACATAGCCATTTACTTTCATGATCTTAATTACCTGATGTTCTTATACTGTATGAATTCTGCAACTTTTATAAAAACTCAGTGAATATCGCAACGAATAAAGGAAACTATAAAGCACATACATATGTAGAAATAAACATGTACCTCACATATGGAATGTAAAGCACACCATATCATGATACTTTCATTATGTACTTGGACATCATTATACTGTATGATTATTAAGCAACTTTGTAGTCAATATAAAACTGTTATTAGCTCCATAAGTATAGTTGAAACCAAAAGTAAGAATAAGAAGTTTTTGTATTGACGGCATCTGGAATTTATGTATGACTGGGCTGCTAATGGCCATTATATAATCATATTACCAACTCAACGGCCCTGTAGCACGGAGCTAACCAAACTGTATGAGGGCGCAGATCTGCTATCCAATATGTCGCGACATAGACCTTATCAATAACCGTGGTTACTACACTAACCTAATGGAGAGCATAATATCAGCTATATCAATATATAAAACAAAAGCATATTACTACTTCATAATTTACATAAAACCCATTACTGACTTACCTGTATGCTGAATAAGCCCTCGGCAAGCGGGCAACTTTTGATGTCATGTTCAGTTTTCACAATCATTTCGCATGCTTGCAATTTTGTGTTTACAATAATACATAGTGTTCATGTATCGTCTTATTGTTTTTAAAAATGAATCTGGAGGCATCTCAAGTCTGAGGCAAAGGATATACAAATTGCATAAGAAAATGAGGGTCCAAATGAGCATTTCAAAACACCACTTCGTCGGCGAGCACGCCACTGCACAAGTCGCGAGCGACAGAGAAGCACACATGGGCGTCAGTGAGTATACAGGTGAGATTCCGAGGCGCGCAAATAGAAATTCGCAGCGAGCAATCGAGAAGCACAAAATGAGAGTCAGAGAGTCTACAACGGCCACAACTTCGACGGAAGCTCGACATGAAAAATTCAGCAAGAGCCGCGCGTCGATGTTTTTCCAGCCTCTGCACAGTCTGATACTCTTTTATTGTCATATCTTCTCAATCTATTAACTCCCGTTTGGGTGATTCAAAAACCCATTAGGAAAGCTAACACATAAGAGAACGAACAAATAACTCTTACATATGACACTTTCCCTAAATCTCCATTATTAAATAGGGTTCAAAAATCACAAGGTGAAGTTCAACTCAGTACTATTCCAGCACAAACCTGTTCAGCCAATTGACTCAATAATCTACTTCACATTTATACTCATTTGATCCCATGCTTTACTCGCACCATTTTCAGAATCACTATTACTCACATATAAACAAACATATTTATCATCAATTAATCAATGCAACCACACAAAATTTCTACATGCAATAGAGGAATTAATAAACTAAAGAGAATAGCACCTTCACTTAACAAGCTATGCGAATCTTCTTCTAGCTTCCTTTCTACCTTGAAGCTACACTTCACACTATAAATAAGAATATCTTATTATGAACATACTCCTAAATATCAACCAAAGAAAGATCAATTATGGAACAAAGAAAGGCTTCACTCTACTTGGATAGAATAAGACAGTTAATTAATGCTTTAACTCACCATTAATGGAGATCAAAGACAGAAGAAGCATGGAGAAAAGAAGGTTGGAATAAGAGTAAAAGTAAGATGAAGGAGATTGGAGAAGATAAAACACACCCCAAAAAAAACACAAACAGGAGTGGAAGAAAATGAAAATTGAAATGGAAAACTCACGAGGCACATCTTAAATACTCAATGAATCTTTTATGTAGAAAAATACAAAAAATGTACCTCAAGTGTACATAGAGTTACAAAAACTTATACTTAAGACTATTATAATCTTATTAAGATGCAAGATAAGTCACTATAAATATCTATATTACTATTGAATCTTATTTGCTTCCTATCAAGTAAGTCCACCTTTTCAGTAATACTCCCATTCTAACCCCACACTACTGGAACATCAATAGGCTCGAACCAGTTCAAATGCACTCTGGACTCTAATGGCTCGAACCAGGTTTTGGGTCAGCCCGACTTGACTCTAAGCAACGACTCGATTCAGTAGGATGTCACAACTTATAATGTCAGACATAGAAAAATGGGACGTTACACATAGAGGACACACTCGTGGAAGCAATCAATGCTGCCAACACTAGCTAATCCTGACAGACCCAATGATCATAGTCAGGGTTTGAAACTTCTTTATCATCCTTCCTCAAAATTGGTGGAGGACGGGGATACGATCCATCAACATACCCTAGGAGATTATGCCCACGTAGGACAGGAACAATCTGAGACAGGAAATACCATCCGAGCTTCCTTTTTTCCACATGTCGAATAATTCTGTTGAGGATGGATTGATCAATGAGTTGTAATAACAGAGAAGGAAGAACCTTTAGAGCCATTTAAATCTGAACAATCAAAACGTTATCACCTCCCCCCTTCCCACACATACCTTTTTGTACAGGTTGGCGAGTATTCTGACACCTTCCGCTAACAAAGCTAATTTCTTAAACGAACACACTCACCGCTTTAATGGTCTATAATATCGATCCAAAACTGGAGAGTAATGACCTTTGATACGAAGAATATACTGCCATAATTCACCTCACCAAATAGTTTTTTTGTGTGCCTCTGGATACCCCAATTATAAAACGAGCCTTTTGAGCGGCAAACCAATTAATTTTCTATTTAAATTTTTCTCACAAACCAATAGAAATAACATGGAAAACAAGTTTGAATGCGCGTAATAACTAACAATTATAACTCCTATTCCCACTACAGCTTTATATAGTATATAACACATTAATTTCGCCAAAATAATAATTCTAGCCTCTATCCAACACAATACACAGATATAATATCTATTGCTACTGTTAGCGAAGACTTTCTTTCAAATTATTTTAGGTGAGCGTGGTCTAATAGCCTCACACTCTCCTGGCTGGACTCCGATCCTTTTTTCTCTCACTAATGCTTTAAGGTGGTCTTCTTACACCTACTTAAAATTTTTCCTTTGCTCATTAAAAGCGTAATGGAGCAAAAATAAAGTTAAAATATAAAAAAATATATGATTTTGTGCATGATATAGAGAGACAGCCCACACTTACTTTCTCCTTCTTCCGTCTTAAGGATCTCTTTTCTTTTCTTTTTTTCCCTCTTTATATTTAATATATGTCACCACTCTCTGGGCATACCTCTGGTGATAAATAATTTTTATCCCTCCAAAAAACATGAAAGGCTTATTTCACCTGTCAGAAAATCTGTGCGAAACGTGGGTTTTTCCTACATTGAGGAAACACAATTAACATAAGATACGAGAAGGTCAACCTTGTTTGCCTCCAATTTTTTATGTTATAGAAGAAAACGCAAAAACCAATAGGTTTTGGCTCTGATACCATAAAACGATTTGAGCGGAATTAATTTCTATTATTTCTCAAACCTATAAATACAGCAGTTCTCTATAACAATATAACAACTACAGCTGTACAAGATAAACACAATTTTGAAATATAAACAGTTACAAAAATAAGAGATAAAATCTATTGCTAGCTGTTAGCTCAATATTTAGGTGGTCTAAGCCTCTCATGGCTGGAGCCGATCCTTCTCCACTATTGTTTAGGTGGTCTTCTTTAACTTTAATTTTCTTGCTATTAGCTAGCAAGGAGAAATTAGTTAAAAAAATATATTGGTTTTGGAGCAATTACTTCCTCTTCGTTAGGATTTTTTTTAATTAAATATGCTAATTGCAATACTGGTGAAATAATTTTACCAAAAACATGAAAGGCTAGTTTCACCTGTAGATGTGTGAAGGTTTTCCCATTGAGGAAAAAGAAGAGAAGGGTAATTTTGCCAATTTTATGTATTTTCTCTCACCTCTCTCTTGCTTTTTGCAATATTTAATAGAAAAAATGGAGAAAATTGGACGGAGGGACTACTTAGATTGACATATGCGAATGCTTTAAATATTTGTTTAAAACGAAAGAATTACTCATATAATTTCGTAATATTTCAGTAACTAAATAATTAATTTCCCTAAAAATTATTATTTATTCATTACTTTTTACTGACTGTCTATGTGTTATTTTTTCAACTCTATGTGTTATTTTTTCAACTGTATTGAAATCACTGACTCAATTGATGGGTGTAGTACACACTCTCTATATTAGGATAAATATTAGATTTATAAGTAATTTTGAAATGATATTAGATTGAGAAATAATTTATTGGAGAACATTATTTTTGTAAAAGCCTCTCATCAAACTAAAAAAAACATTTATTCTTGCAATGTACGGAACAAAAAGAATAAATTAGATGGGTAAAATAAAATACAAAGGAGAGAAAACACCTGTTACTAAAACAAAAAGATATAGGTTTCCAAGTTAGTGCCCTAATTCATCGTTTGCCTCATTCCTACCTTCAACTTGCCGCACCTCAACGTCTTTCTGCCTCCAGTACTCGAAACAGGTCGGTTCATTTTCATATTTTTTTTTTTTTCCATTTCCCTTTCTGCTCTCCTTCTTCTTCCTCTAGCGGTTCACAAAATCTTTCGGGTTTTTTTTCTTCTGATACGATTAATTACTTTGCTTCTTTTTCCTCTGATTTTGCTTTTTTTTTTTTTTCTCTCATGTAATCTATGTTTTTGGTTGTAATCTGATTTTTACGTCTGAAAACTGTGTTTTAAAAGCTTCTGTTTATGCCTGTTTAGGTATTTACTAGTGCATCGATTGAGATTTAGCATGGAAAGAAGCATTAAGTCAAGAATATTAAGTTTCATCTGGAGAAAGAAACATACGCTAACTCACTATTCATCACTTCTCTTTCCCTTCTTGGAGGCTTTTCTTGGCTAAGTTGTAAAGACAAAATTATTAATATGGCCTCTGCATTTCTTTTCTGAAGTATAGATGAGATGTCTGATATTGTGTTAGTGGTTCATTAGCATTTCCTTTTATAATTATTTTCATTTGTATGTGGTTTCCTGGGATGTTTAGGTGTTCTGCTTGTGGCTTTCTGATTGTGTGACATTGTAGGCGAGATGTGTGATTTTTTAGTTGTTGCTAATTTCTTGTGTTTTACTTTTTTTGTAGTAACCTTGATGGATGAAAATCCCATTAATGTGAAGGACGAGGTGGCAGAAGTAAGCCTTTTATTTTTGGTTGTTCTTAGATTTTGATTATGCTTTGATTCATAACAGACTGTATAATGCAATAAGAAAGTTGTACCTATGTATGCTTCTGATGGTGCTGACATTCTATGCAATGAAATGAGTAGGTTACAAAACGTTGAACTAAAAGTGCAAATTTGTCCATTATATCATACACCAAACGTGGCCTAAATGTGTTATCCCTTTCCTGTGTTAGTCTTTTTAGTTATTGCATCTCTTTGTTGCAGCTTGCTCCCTTTGATCCTACCAAAAAGAAGAAGAAGAAGAAACCAGTCTTACAGGATAGTGCAGATGATTCTGTGGACAAGCTTACTGAGAAAACAGAATCACTATCGGGTACCTAAAGCGAGCAGTCTATACTTATGGGATGTTATTTATTTCACGAAATACATTGTGAATGACTTGGCATAAAAGGACCGTGGAGTACATTTTCCTAGGCATTTAATTTTTTAATTAATTGCAGTCTCTGAAGGGCTTGAGAGTACTTTCACTGGTTTGAAAAAGAAGAAAAAGAAGCCAGTAAGTTTGTTCTTCTGAGTATTGGATGATTGCCTTGATTATGATTTACTTGTATTTGTATTCTCAGCCGCAATAGACATGTGAACTTGACTTTATATTGCAGGTCGATGCTAGTATTTTGAATGAAGAAAGTCTGGATGGAGGAGAAGATTTGGATGGTAAGAAGTCACATTCTTTAAATTCATGGATTATGAATATCGTCTTGCTCAATTACTTTGTTTTATTGAATCTAAGTGTTGTGGTTTCTTGCTTGTTTAGATCATGTGGTACAAGATGAAGAAGGAGAAGGACTTGAGCAGCAACAACAGCTTTATCCATGGGAAGGGAGTGACCGGGATTATGAATATGAGGAGGTATATTATCCATTTGAGTGGAATTTTATTTTTCCATTTTGATTGATGTAAAAATATTTTGTTGAATGCTCTGTTATGATGTTGTCTGTTGTATGTATAATATACATCCAATTAGTTGATGGTAGTATAGTATTAGACATTGTAAGTATTATGTGTGCATGAGCATGTATGAAATGACAAATATTTAATAGCACTTGCAAAAATGTGCTCCAAAAGTTCAATAATATACGCATTAGCCATTTGCAAAAGGTTAGCCTTTGTATGGTGATAAGGTGGCTTCCTCTTTATGTGGAAGTATCGGGTTCAAACATTGAATAACTTATTTGCTATGCAATGTGGAGACTCTGTATCTAATTCTTCATAATGTTTGGGATGTGGTAATCCTTATACAATGGGACATATTAGCCATTTGACTAAGATTTGGGTGGGGATATTATACAAGGGGTGTTCTTTAAATTATTAGGTGTGCTTTTGGACATTGTAAAATGTTTGAACATATTTCTGCTCTTTGTTTCTTTCTATTACATATATCACTGCATAGAATCTTCTCTCTGTAAGTAGTTACTGTGATTCTCTCATCCTTGTTCATGTTTTATTTGTGCCCCTCACTTCTTAACTGGTCGATATTTATACAGTTCTTGTAGTTGCAGGCTGACATTTTCTTTTCTTTTCATTGTGACATGGGCAGCTTCTTGGTAGGGTCTTCAACATTTTGCGTGAGAACAATCCTGAACTTGCTGGAGACAGGCGTAGAACTGTGATGAGGCCTCCACAAGTTCTTCGTGAGGGTACAAAAAAGACTGTTTTTGTGAATTTCATGGATCTCTGCAAGACGTATGTATTTTGCTCTCCTTTTGTGCCTTTTAGCAAGTCTGGATCAAATGGCATATTTTGATTCATGTGTTACTAACCATTGGCAATATTAAATGTTTTTACTTATTCTTATGAAATTTGGTACTCCATGTATTAGGTACATATAGACAAGATACATTTACCAGGGCATGCCATTTTTCATAAGCTGCAATTACTTTTAATCCTGGTCAACATCTTAATAACATGTAATCATTGTTCTTGAGGTCAGAACTTTTTGGTTGGTGCTGTTTAACGTTTTAGAAATTAGATTCATGCATCAAGATGTATACATTAATTTTTATATTTTTCTGTACATTGAGATTTGAACATTGATATTTCATTGATGTGCAATTTCAGAATGCATCGGCAACCAGACCATGTCATGGCCTTCTTGCTTGCCGAGTTGGGAACGAGTGGTTCTCTTGATGGACAGCAAAGATTAGTTGTGAAGGGCAGATTTGCTCCCAAGAATTTTGAGGGGATCCTGCGACGATATATCAGTAAGTATTTTCATTTTTTCAATTGACTGGCATCATGTGGAGCTGTGAACAAGTGTTTAGGTGGGCAGCTTGTATTCGTCACCTGAGCAATATGATCTTTGCTTTTCAGATGAATATGTGATTTGCCTTGGTTGTAAAAGTCCAGACACTATACTTTCAAAGGAGAATCGTCTATTTTTTCTCAGATGTGAAAAGGTAACAGTTCATACATTTTTATCTCTTTTTCATTTTTTCCCTTTTCCTGATACATCATGAGACTCTTGCTTATATATTCATAGTAGTCCTGCAGAAAGCTATGTATGTGTAGTAGTCTTGCAGACATCTATACATGTTGAGTGGTCTATGAGAAAGCTTGGAAAATATAATATCATAACAACATATTTGTACTGTTTTTGCATTTTTTGTATTGCATCTACCATGAGTTTTAAAAGTCTTGGTGATGAAATGAACAGTTTTTAGTGTATTATATGCATTGTAATCATCCTAGATGATTTGTATATAATCATTTGCAAAATTTTGATATGGCATACATTCCCATATTGTCTAATTCATGACTGAGACATATACCTTTGAGGCCTTGTTAATATTGTTATTATTTTTTTACTTTATGATATTGATTTGGAAAATATTATATATGTGATTTCAAATTTTCTGTTATTACTGTGATCAGAATTTGATGAGTGGATGTTGGAGACAAATGGTTCATATTGCCAACCCCAACTAGTTTGGGACTAAGGCTTACTTCTTGTTGCTTGTTTGTTTACTGTGATAATATATCTAAAAATTATCCTTTGCCAAATCTTGTCTTGAGGCAGCCTTCGCTTGCATGCTTCTTGTTTATCTTCTTATATACATAGTAACCTGATGATCTTGATTTGAAAAATTTCAATGTGGCCTATGATGATTAACTGTTTGCCTACATTGTCAGATTGTCTAACTCATGACTGAGACATATATGTCTGAGGCCTTATTAATATTATTGTAGTTTTTGTGCTTATGATATTGATTTAGCAAAATCCTTTTTTTATTTATTTTTTTTTATTTGTCTTTTTTCCCTGTTATTACCATGATATTGTATCTAAAATTGTCATTTGGTAACTTATCTTGAGGTAGCCTGGTATGATCTTAAGATTTGCATATGTTGTCGTATTGTTTAGGCTTTAGTCCATGGCTGATATGTTGAGTAGTTCTGAGGTCTTCTTCTAGCTACTACTTATTCTTTGTATTTGCATGGTTAACCTGATGGTATAGTGATTAGAAAAAGTTTATTGTGGCGTATGATGATTAATTATTTGCCTACATTGTCAGATTTGTCCAATTCATGACTGAGACATGTACATCTGAGGCCTTAATCCTTAACTAATATTACCATGATATTGTATCTAACCTGATGGTATAGTGATTAGAAAAAGTTTATTGTGGCGTATGATGATTAATTATTTGCCTACATTGTCAGATTTGTCCAATTCATGACTGAGACATGTACATCTGAGGCCTTAATCCTTAACTAATATTACCATGATATTGTATCTAAAATTTTCATTTGGTAACTTATCATGAGGTGGCCTGGTATGATCTTAAGATTTGCATGTGTTGTCGTATTGTTTAGGCTTTAGTCCATGTCTGATATGTTGAGTAGTTCCGAGGTCTTCTTCTAGCTACTATTTATTCTTTTAATTTGCATGGCTAACCTGATGATATAGTGATTAGAAAAAGGTTAATGTGGCCTATGATGATTATTATTTGCCTACATTGTCTGATTTGTCCAATTCATGACTGAGACGTGTACATCTGAGGCCTTAATCGTTAACTAATATTACCATGATATTGTATCTAAAATTTCATTTGGTAACTTATCGAGAGGCGGCCTGGTATGATCTTAAGATTGCATGTGTTGTTGTATTGTTTAGGCTTCAGTCCATGGCTGATATGTTGAGTAGTTCTGAGGTCTTCGTCTAGCTACTACTTATTCTTTTTATTTGCATGGTTAACCTGATGGTATAATGATTAGAAAAAGGTTAATGTTGCCTATGATGATTAATTTATTTGCCTACATTGTCAGATTCGTCCAATTCATGACTGAGACGTGTACATCTGAGGCCTTAATCCTTAACTAATATTACCATGATATTGTATCTAAAATTTCATTTGGTAACTTATCGTCAGGCGGCCTGGTATGATCTTAAGATTTGCATGTGTTGTCGTATTGTTTAGGCTTTTGTCCATGACTGATATGTTGAGTAGTTCCGAGGTCTTCTTCTAGCTACTACTTATTCTTTTAATTTGCATGACTAACCTGATGATATAATGATGAGAAAAAGGTTAATGTTGCCTATGATGATTAATTATTTGCCTACATTGTCAGATTTGTCCAATTAATGACTGAGACATGTACATCTGAGGCCTTAATCCTTAATTAATATTACCATGATTTTGTATCTAAAATTGTCATTTGGTAACTTATCATAAGGTGGCCTGGTATGATATTAAGATTTGCATATGTTGTGGTATTGTTCAGACTTTAGTCCATGACTAATATGTTAAGCAGCTACTGCTTATTCTTTTTATTTGCATGGCTAACCTGATGATATAATGATTAGGAAAAGTTAATGTGGCCTATGATGATTAATTATTTGCCTACATTGTCAGATTGTCTAATTCATGACTGAGACATACAGCTGAGGCCTTAATCCTTAATTAATATTCTCATTATTATTACACATGATATTGATTTGGGGAAGTGCTATTAATCTAATTGTTGCAGTTTTCTGTTATTGCCTGATAATGCATCTAAAATGGCCATTTTCTGAATCTTGTCTAAAGGAGGCATAGGATGATCTTAAGATTGCCTACAGTGTCAGATTGTTTTGAAGCATTATTTTTTTCATTCTTCTTATGGTAACCTGGGTGATTCACTATTTCGTTTGGTTAGCATGTTGATGAAACATAGAGAAGAAATATAGTTAACCAATTGATTTGATCTGTTTATTTATTTTAAAGGTAAACTTTTTCATGCATACAACATGCCATAGACTGTTACTGATGTTTCTGAATATTATTAATGTTCCTGTCATTATGTTTATTTGTAAAATGTATGTGCATTATGTTTCAACTTAGTTAATGTTTTGTGTGTGTGTATATATATGTGTTGCTCCCCACCATTGACCACTTTTTTTGGATCCTTCATTGCTTATTCTTGGGGTTTCATTGTGTTTGTATTTTTTTTCTAAATAAAGTTCTTCCCTCCTTGTTCGTGTTGTACACACACACACACCCCCTTTAGTTGCCAAGACAAAACAAGGATTCTCACTGCGGAGTGGAAGAATTTTCTTATAATTTTCATTTGTGCTGTATGTCTCCTTTCTGATGTTTTTATGCTCGTACAGTGTGGTTCTGGACGATCAGTCGCCCCCATCAAAGCTGGTTTTGTTGCTCGTGTTGGCCGCAGAAATGCAGGGACATGAGTCTTCTAAAGCTTAATTTGTTGCATATGCTAGCGGTAGGGGAAAAAAAAAAAATACTGGGCCATGAACCTATTAAAACTGAGGTGTGCAGTTGAGAAGTTACAGATGTTTTACCATTACCTACTCTCTACTGTTTACTCGATTTTTACGGGAGTTAAATAATACTATGTATTAGGTTGGGATTGTACTTAGTTTTATTATATCTTAATGGAAATGGTATTGTATTTTTGGTTTGTCAACTTTTATCTTGAGCTTGACTGTTATCTTAAATGAAAATTAGAATGAGATCAAGATTGAGTTTCGATTTCGAGTTTTCTGATAAAAAAGATTGGAGTTTGGATCCGGTTCGATTACGAGATAAGAATGTATGGTTGTCCATTGGTAAGAGTAGTATGATTTATTTTTCATTCAGCCTTTGTTTTAAAAAAATTTTGCTTTGTGATTTTTATTCTTTACAAGTGCAGTAAAAGAAAAATATGAATTTCATTTCATTTAAGAAGAGAGAAGCAATTGCGGTAAAAAATTAATTTTTCATAAAAGTGTTTTTAATATTTTTAATTTTATGTTCTAGTAATTTTTTTAAATTTATATTTTAAAATATTAATTTTTTTAATTAAAAAAGAGCCACATTTCCTTGTACTCCATGAGTATTCGAAATTATAAGGAAATTTCCCTTCATTATTATCTTTATCATTTATCTCCAGCTTATATGCGTCGAAACTGAAATTTCTTTTCTAGATAATCTTAAGAAGAGATTGGTCCGATTACAACATCTAAACAGTATTTTTTCAAATTGGAAGTTTGAGGTCTATATATATCTTTTAATTTTTTTTTGAAAAAAAAAAATATAAAATTTATAGTATCCATACTCGCTAGATATTACATAGTACAGATGTATTATTTAGTACAAAATATCCCAAATTATTATGCTTTTTTTTTTTTTTTTTTTTTTTTTTTTTTTAATCCCAAAAGCCAACATAGATGAAAGTTTCAGCACATTGACGATGTTTACATAACAAGTGTTGCGAGAGATAGCACCAACGGAACAATTCAAATTCTGATAATGTCCTTATTGCACTGGCTTCTGAATTGTAATTTGAACGTGTAAAGAGCATGTCTCAAAATCACGTTTTTCATTTTATTATATATATATTATATATAATATATTATATATATATATACTTTAAATGAAAATTTGATCAGGACTCTTAACTTATTTCGAATGATTCAATTTGTTCAAAAAAGTATATATTTAAATGAAAATTGAATAGATTTAACTTGATTCGAATGATTCAATTTGTTAAAAAGGTCAAAATTGGATAAAATGGATAAAATTAAAATGAAATTGTAAAAACTTATAAAGTTCAGAGTATTCTGATATATTAAACGGATATCAAACGGCTAAAAACTTACTTGAATTGGTGGTACATCCTCGTTCAATGGTGCCGGTGATGTTGTGAACAGTGGCACCATTGGCGAACGTGAAGTCTCTTTTGACATAAAAGACACAAGTTAGCACATGTTTGGTATGTTCTCCACACCCACCAGATTTACAGTACTCTGGAACCTCAGCTTTGCTTACATTCACCACTCCTTCTAGTTTTAGCACATCCTTTGATGATGTGCATGCTTCTGAGAACTATATTAATAACATTGACCCAGTTATTATATTGCACCACCACAATTTCTACGAGGGATATTATATTGATCAAATTTAAATCTAATATTTACTTTTAAATAACTTTACTTTTACCATTACAACAACCAACGGTGGATCTGGAGATTTTTTTTCCCGTGAAATTAATATATAATCTTTTTGAAAAAAGAGGGGTAAAAGCATAAATGAATTGAATTTAATGGATTAGTTTAGGTGTGTGTGTATATATATATATATATATATATTATTAGAAAAATTCAAAAAAGAAGGATCCTTTTTATTCAGTAAGAGGCTTAATGCGCTGAAATAACAAGATGAACTACACGATATGAGCAATCCTCCCATTGACTTATCAAATTGATGAAAACTCTTGTGATGCTTAAAATCGAGACCTTTCGCTTTTTATATCATAGTGAAAAGACCAACTAGATCACACCTAGTTGTCATCCACCACTCTTTTTATACGGTGGAACCCTCGATGGCAACAACAATAACTAACTAAAGGAAGAGAGGGTTGTAGTAGATTGACAACTAACATCAAAATAGTCATGTCCTTTAACCTTGAGAATAATTTATCTAGACACGGTTTGTGGGCTCAGTCACAAATCAAATCATTGAAAAATATTTCCTTTTTTTTTTGGACTCACCGATAAAAAATCTTTATTGTGATTAGTTTAGTCCGTAGATATATTTATGAACCGAATCTAAATAAATTTTATCTTTAAAATTTTACCGCTAGTTATGAAAAAAAAAGCAAAAGATATATTATATGTAATAGTTATCTTAAATTTTTGTACCATAAAAATTTGTGAATTACTTTGTGCCTAATATACTCAGTATTTCCCAAATATTAGTGGAAATTCATCATAATTAACAAGCATGTAAGTCAAAAGAGAAAAAAGAAATGTAGAAACAAAGAAGCCTTGAGGAGGAGGAGAATAAGAAGAGATACTATACATTCTGCATGCATTCCCATGCGCTTCTCATCTGCGAAAATGGACTCAGATTCACATTTCCTAATGGGTCTGAACAAAATAAATAACCAAAAAAGAAAAAAAAATGATTTCTATAATGATTAATTGGAAATCAAAATAACAAAAAAGGAAAAGAAAAAATTAATTAAGATTACTGTAGTCATAAGCATCAGCTTTAGCGCAAAGAAGAAGAAAAATCCCCATTGACAGACAAAGCAAATCCATTCTGTAATTTTCCATTCTTGATCAGAAGAAAGAAAGTGCCTTAAACCAAAGCTATATTTGCACTAGGCATATTTATATTACATAGAGAAGTATATATGATACAAGAAATTTGGTGTGCAAATGCCAAAAAATACACTCAGAACTAGGGAATATATAAATTGTTTTTAGTATATGCTTAGGATTTAATATTGAAGCAATAAAATGTTGTGATAAGACCAAGAAATGTAAGCCAAAGTATTAGCTAGCTAGCAGATTATTTGAAATTATTCATTTTTTGGCTAACATGTCGGAAATTAAGAGGCGAAAAGAGATCATTTTTCTTTTTCTTTTTCTTTTTTTTCACTCTCCCGGTACAGGCTTTCTAGTGAAGAAAGTTCTACGCATCAACTTGCTGCACTACTGTGAAAAGAAGAGTTCCCTTCGAGCGAAAATAATTTTTTGTACTTTTGGATCGTTTCTCTTCTTTATCATTCTTCTGGGAGAAACATTCTTCCACTTATCTACTACATATTATCATTATCCATCCAATCATCCACCTTTCTACGTAAAGGATTATACTTTATGGTCCTAGTAAGAGCTCAAAAGAACACTAAATACAATCTCTCGGGTATTCCATCCGAGTCGTACCAGGAAGAAGCCATGGATTCAAAGAAACTGGAGGTTGGTGAAGGACATGCATGTTAATGTGAAACTGCTCTGCAAAACTAGCTAGCTTCTCTGTGCAATTGTTAGTTTTTTATTGCATATGTGAGACACTACATTCCAGTTTCACCCTGAGGAGTTTGATCTCACGAATCATCTCAACTCTCCAAAGCACTATCAAATTCACATGCCCAAGGATCAAGCAAGCTTCATGCCTTCAGAGAGGGCCCAAAGCTCAGCACAAGTGACTAAGCAGCTGCCAACATGATGAACAAAGCCCAAAAAAATTGACAAAAATTATTTTATTATTATTTAGCTTCCACCCTCTAAAGAAAATATTAAGATATTGAGATAAAAACTGAAAAATTCTAACACAAATTACTTTCGGTAACCCAAAATTCCAATTTGAATGAAAATAGTTCAAGCAGTATCGATTTTTGTTTTTTTTTATTGGATAAGTGTGATTTTTAATTAAGAATAAGATTTATTTACAAACACTAAGCGAAATACAAAAATTTTTTAAAATATATTATTGTTTTATCCTTGATTTTCAATGAATAGTCATAAATATTCTCATTTAAATATTCTTTTTGTTTTCCATGTGAATAGTTGGTACTGATCTTTGAAGTTAAAATTATGTAATATAAAATAAATTCAGATTCGAATTCTCATTCCAATAAAAAAAAAAAAAACTATTCGCATAGAACATTATAGATCAGCACCAACAAAGTTCAGGTCATTATAGAAAAATAACAAGTCATTGTGAAACATTGACTATTTAGTCAAGACCATGAAACTTATCATAGAAAATAATTTATACCCATCCACCCATCCACACCTCTCTTTATCTCATAAAGTTATGCTTGATTTTTTTTTTTTATCTGTTCCAAATTATAACTCATTTTTTTAAAAGAATAATTATTTTTTTAATTCTTTAATATTACCCCTGTCAAATATGCTTTATAATCAATAATTTTTCCATTTGATGCTTTATTGAAAGTGATATCTAATATTAAGATAAGATTATATTAGGAAAATATAAATATAATTTATTGTTTAAAAATATTAATTATTTTTTTAATCTATATGTAAATAAAAATAAATCTATTTATGTGTGATGAAAAAAGTAACTTTCATGAATAGAAATATTTTAGATTTGTTAAAATATTAGATATTTTTTTATTGATTTATAATGAGTAAAAACAAATAATATTTCGAATTATATTTTCAAATCGATAATATTATAATTTAGATGATTTAAAATTTATGTAAATTTAGCATAATGCAAGTTGAATTTGAATAGGTGAATTTAGTATAATGTAAGACCAAATTTGAGTAGGTAAATTTATGCCTAAGTTATATTTTTGTATTTCTACTTGTGATATTCCATTAACATATATATTTGGTTTTCTAGTGAACAAAAACCTAAGCTAACGTAATAAATATAAATTTCTTTTAAATTGCTAAATTTTCACGATTTAAAGCTTTTTTATATTGTCTTGTTTAAATTGCTAAAACCTTTTGTTTCCTATTTTATATTTTGTTTATTCATTGCTATTAATTGAACATAGTAGAAAATAATAATAAATGATTCATTTAGTTGACTTCAAACTAATTTGAGATAAATGCTTTTTTTTTTTTTTTAGTATTTCTTTTTTTTTTTTTTTAGTATTGAGGGAGAGGGATTCGAATCCAGAACTATTATCGAGTCGTATATACACTTTAATTTGGGACAAAGACTTGATTTTTGTTATTGTACATATGTTCTCATGTTCGATAAATTTAAATCTAGATGAAGTTTTTCCTTTTCTACTCATAATATTCCATCAATTTATTTAGTTTCCTTCTGAACTAAAACAATAGAAAAATTTTAATTCACATGTAATAATTGTAAATTGATTCACAATTAACCTAATAATTTTTTTTTAAAGTTTGTTCACATATTCAATAAATTTAAATCTGAGTTAGATTTTTCTATTTGTACTTTTAATATTCCATTAATTTATTTGGTTTCCTTATAAACCAAAACAATAAAAAATTTTGATAAGTGTAAATTGATTCACACTACTACTTTTTTTTTAAAAAATTTCTACACATGTTCTCATATTTGGTAATATATCTGAGTTAGATGGTTTTTTTTTTTTTAACTCGTAACGTTTCATCAATTTATTTGGTTTCCTTATGAACTAAAAATTTAAATTAACATATAATAAATGTAATTTGATTCAAATTCAACCTAATATCTTTTGAATTGTTAAGTCCTTATTATTTTTTTAATTAATAAAATTAAAATCTTTATAAATATAATATTATTACTGCATTTAATATATAGTTTATTCAGTATGTAATATATAATTTTTTAATTTAGTTAAATAAAATTTAGATTTAAATTCCAATATTGTTCGATCATTTCTCATATATATATATATATATATATTATAGATGTGATAATGTTATAAATAAAATTATGTTTTTCAGGGTATCAAATTGAGAAGGATAAAAAAAAATTAATAATAATATATTATAGATGTTATAAATAAATTATTGTTTTCAGGTATCAAATTTGAGAAGGATAAAAAAATAATAATACTAATAAGAACGCAAAAAGAAAAAGGGACGGCACACGTTTTTATATTCAACGGATGCTCAAAGCAACTACTCAGATCTCTTCTTCTTCAAAAAAAAATTTATATTTATTTAAAATTATCTCTCGCATAGAATGCAAATATAATATATAAATAAAAAAAAAATAAAAAAGGGTGTGAACTTTTGACAATTTATATTCATTGAATTGAATTCCATGTGGAAACGATTTTAAGGACACTCTTTTTTTTTTTCTTCATCTGTCTTTCTCGAGTTTCTTCTACTCCATACCCATCGCCTTCCTCTCCTCTCTCTATCTCTCTCTCTCTCATCTCTGCCATTTAAGATTCGCTTCATTTCTCATGGTTTTCGAGGCCACAACTGATACTCGCTCTCTCTAGCTAAAAGGCTTTCTTGCTCTTCTTCTCTTCTGTAAGTTTTTCTCGAATCTCTCTCTAGTTTCTTTTTTTTTTTTTTTCTGATTTCTTCTTTTGAATCCATTTGTATGAGCTTTTTTTCATTTAAATCCATTTTTTTCTTGTAGTTTAGTCTTGGACTTAAGAGTAGTAGTTTATGCTTTATAGTCATGAAATCAAAGAAGCTAAAAAGAAAATTACAAAAAAAAGAAAAATAAATCCTTATCTAGACTGAGAAATCAAGATGCTATTACTGTTTAGTGTGACTATTTCCCAACATTTGTTCTTATTTGGCCAATTTATTTGTTGTTTAGTTTTCTTCTGGTCGGTATCAAGGAAGAACAAAATAAAAATTAATTAGAAATTTATTTTTTATTTTTTTATCAAACCGGTTCGATTTGAAAAAAGGAAACCGAAATCAAATCAAACCGTAACTTTGTGTTCTCAGTTATCGTAGAATCGAAAATGGTTGATCACAGTTCAGTTTCAATATTAATCGGTTTGATTTTACTTTAGGTTTAGGTTTAGGTTTAGGTTTAGGTTTCGGTTTAGAATCGAGCTGCTCGTCTAAACTCGTTTACTGTTAGATTTATTTATTACGTCAGGTAGAATAATAATTAATAATAAGAATAAAATAAATAAAAGAAATAGGCAGCGTGGATTTTTCTGGACCTTCTTGTTTGGACAGTTGCGAATTGTGGTCAATTCCCGCGGATTTAGATATTGGGCCCGCGCTTTTATCGAGCGTGTCTTGCACCTTCCTATATATATATGTGTATGTATTATATACACACACATAAGTTCTGTACTTTAGCTGGACCCGTGAGTTATGTCAGATATATTGATAAGCATCGCTGTGGCGACGCTAATTCCCATTGTTCAAACTTCAAAGCAATGGAACGGTTGGGTGCTTCAGATCACTCAATCAAATAGCTTATGATTAGGCATAGCCACACGTGTTTCATAGGCGGGCCGGGCTGGCCCAGGATTCTATTGGCCCCATGATTTGGAGGAGCTAGACCTCACACCTTTTTGAAAGTGAATTATACAACAATAATTGATATATGAATTATTATTTCAGTATTTGGATATGATTGTGTTTGAATTTTATTTATGATTTCGCTATTGCATATACAAATTTCAATCCATTTTCATTTCAAATACTCACCTTTCCTATCGTATGGATGCTTAAAATCCTAAATCAATTAGGGTTTTACTACGTTGCAGAAATCAAAAATTCTTTATAGGTACAAAAATTGTCTTTGTCTTATAGCAAGGGTAATATGTTGATTATGGCTTTTTTTTTTGTTCTTTTGAATTTTTTGTTTGGTCTTTGGAACTTTCTTCCTAAATCACATATATAAAAGAAGTATGTATCATGAGTTTTAAATATATTTATTTTTTAATTTTTTTGGAAACATTATTTGTTTTAATTCGTACAAATCTATTATTTTTCTGTTGATTCTTTCTCTTATAAATCTTATTTATTTATTTTAATAATTTTAATCATATTCTATAGTTCTTGAAATATGTTATAATGTTGAAAATCAAGTGAAAAAGAATAATAAAAAAAAAAGCTAGCTCAAATGAAAAAAGTAAAAAATACATAAATTAAATTGTCCATGTACATAATAGTATTTTAAGTGAGTCTAAATTACAAAGCAGTTAATTAAGGTCATGTTATTTTAATATTGACAATATCGCAATTATTTTTTATAGTTAGATTAGTTACAATATTAAAGAGAAAAAAGAATTAAATATATTTTTTTAGATAAGAGAATCAATGTTTTTAATTTATACTTTTTTTATTTTAATTTATATCTTAGCTAGGGTACCTATTTCATATGCTAGTTTTCAATTGTGGTATGAGCTTCCATTAGATTTGAAGCTCTTGTTCTTGATGATTCTATTATTGAATAAAATCTCTATTCTCTTAAAAAAAAAAGTAATTCTATATTTATTAATAAAAAATTAAATAAAATATCACTGTTTTTAATGTTACCTAATGGTTATAAAGACTTCTTTATGGATAGAGAAATTTTCTATTCTCTACCGTAGATTTACCCATCAATTAGATTAAAAAATGGTTTGAGGAAACCTTTAGAAATTAAATTGGTGGACATTTTGAAATCAAAACTAAACATTAGGATTCATATTTGAATGTCCCCTCCTTGCACTTCTCACTTTTATATATACTAGTTCTTTTTATGACGTATGATGCATGTTAACTATATTCATTATATGCTCATTTTTTATACTCAGTTTAGTTTTTTATTTATATAATTAAAATATAAATTTTTATTTAGATTGCAATATATATAGTCGTTTTTATATATACAGTAAAATATTCTTTTTGATTATATATCTTGCACTGTAATATCTCATTGAAAAAAAAATTGATATATTTATTTCTCTCTCTAAAATAGCAATTTAAATATGAAATATATCATTTATATTCTGTTCAACATACTGATTCATATAGTTTTTATTATACGCTAGTTGCTTTTATTTTTTATTTAAGTACCAAATTGATTTGTAAAAATCATCATATAGCTAGCAATGTTGTTAAAATATGAAATATATCATTTATATTTCTGTGCTTCAACATACTGATTCATATAGTTTTTATTATACGCTAGTTGCTTTTATTTTTTATTTAAGTACCAAATTGATTTGTAAAAATCATCATATAGCTTTTATTTTACGTTTTATAATTAATTTACATGTCTTGTTAATAAATTTTACTATAATCTTTTAAGTAAATTAATATACTTTAACAATAGAATAAGAAACTAATTTAATAAATCAAATTAAATATTTATAAATAATAACAAAAAATTTTTTTTTATCTTTTTATCCAATCAAAATCATGAAATCATTTAAAAATTTAATTATTAAAATTATATTCCTTAATAGAAAGAATATAGAAAAATAGGATTTGAAGTTAAATAAGATATCAATTATTAATTAATCAAATTCAAAATGTTTTAAAAATAATAAAATTTTTATTATTTTTGGGCCAATTCATATTAGAGTGCAATCTTGTAATTAAAGAAATTAACGAACTCTTTTTAAATCAAAATTATTAATTATCTATTATATGTTATTTAAAAGTAAATTCGAAAAAAATAAAAATTTTCAAATGCGCCTCATATTTACACATATTCATTTAAAATAATAAAAAATTAATAATGTGAAGATTAATTACAATATTAGTAAATAAAAATTAAAATAATATAATAAGAATAATAAAATTATAAATATTTAATTATTATTAATAATTTATATAATAATATAATGAAATAAAAACATAATTAGACATAATAAGATAATAATAGTAAAATTAAATAAATTGTAAATTTTCAAATGCTTAATTATCTATGTGTATTTATCTATTAATAAAAGTTAAAAAAAATCCAATCAAATTATGGAGATATTATATATATTTTTATGTTAAAATTTTTTAATTGGTTATGACTAAGATTATTTTAGAGTATCTTAAATTTTACATGACAATATAAGAAATCTCATTATTCTTCTTCATTCCCACTTTTATATATAGTATAGATAATAGATAGATTATAGATTCTAAATTTATTTTTTTATGTATTAAGTTAAATAGAGCAAAATAATGTATATAATAAATACATAAAATATGTATATGTATTTAGCTCTAACATTTAATTTATATCCTAAATTGAATAAATTAAAAACATATATAGTAAACAAAAGAATATTTAATTTTAATATATAGCCTTCTTATATAATATTAAAATAATTAAAAATAAAATATTTTTATTAATATATAAACGTTAATTATCTATTAAGCATGATATTTAAAAGAAAATTGAGATGCGTATATAGTTAACGTATTATCTATTAAGCAGAATATTTTGAAATCAAATTTAATGGTCATTAGTAAAAGTTATTTTATAATATTTTTAAATTGTATTAAGAATATTTTCTTAGTTAGTTATCTATTAATTAAAATTATTTTATAATATTTTAAATTTTATTAAGAATATTTTCTTACGTTAGTTATCTATTAATTAAAATAAATTTAATTGATCATTAATAAGGTTATTTTAGAACGTTTAAAATTTCACTAAAGGCATTATAGGTAATCCCATTATTTTCTCCTTATTCCCACTTTTATATATAATATAGATAGATTATAGATAGTTTTATTTGAATGACTTATAAATGTTGTATTTAGGTTGTAATTTCCCCTATTACCAATATTATAGTTGGGGATAGATTTGCCTGTATCTACTCGATAGGCCCACTCATAGATCAAACGAATAGAAAATGATTTTTTGTGAAATGATGATATTTTTTTGACTATATACTGAGAAAAAAGATGGTAAAGTAGAAATAATTTTAAAAAATTTATATTTTTATTGGTTTGGTTCATAAGCGTGGCATTAGACTTAGTTTAAGAAAATCTAATCCATTTGTCTTTTCTTGTATACTTTTTACACCATTGCTATTGAAATATATCATTCTATGTTTATTGTAGTAGATGCTAGTACTTACTACAAACTCAAATTTCAGCATAATGCCTAGAAATAGGATTAAGGACTTAATAGGTTAATATTTAAAATAACACACCAGCTTCATTAGGTTACCCTATTCAGAAGTTGAGAAAAAAGAGGGAAAAAAAAAAAAAAGAAAAAAAAATATCACCAAGGTCTTCAATTGCAATGATTCATGAAAGCTTAATGATAAAACAAACTATCTAGATCTTTGGAGAAATAAAATGTGTGCATAAACTGTACTTATCAAGTTTAATAGAAAAAATAATCTTTCAAAAATATTGAATAAATTATTTTTAAAAAATAAAATATGTAAACTAATGTTTATATTTAATGACATTGTGAACAATTTAAAAATAATTTTTCTTTGTCCATAGAAATGGTTTATTTGGCTTTAGGTGTACCTTTTTGTTTGCCTACACTAAGTTGGCTATTTCAAATCACTAGCTATTGAAATGAACTAATAATATCAAATGTCATCAGGTTTATATTAAAGTTTGACAAACTTAGAAGGTTTGATTATTATCATTATTTTTTTTAAATGGATGATGATTTGGATATTCTTGATCATTTGGGATAAATTAACTCCCAAATCCCAAGGGTTGGCTTATTTCTCGTTGTTGATTATAGATGTACATTAAAGTGGATGCAACATCAGAATTTCTATGCAAATTTCGAAGGCTTTGACTACTTATGCAGTGATATGTTAAGGTTGAAATTTTTGTGTATGTGGCAGGTTCGCATTTCTAAGTTGAATTCTGTTGACCTTCTGAACAATTTCTTTTACTTCAATTCTGAGTTTCAATCAGCTTATCAAATGGCTTCTTCTATGGTAAGGAATATTTTCCAGCAGAACACTTTAGTTACTTTGCATTTCTCACTTCCATTGTAATTTAGAAATGTTTAGCTGTTTAGATATTTTTTTCAGCTTTATTTTGAGTCATGATAAACCATTTTGTTGCACATTCCTTGCCTGATGACTTGAACTTTAGCATCGTTATATGAGGTTCCTTGTAATATGCTCTTTGTGGAATTTTATTTTTCAGTCAAAAGAATTTAATATTGCGAGCGGCTAATTTCAGGTTCCGTCAAACAAGAATTTTAAGAGGTTGCAGTCAAAGAAATCACATTCCTGGTGGTGGGATAGTCACATCAGTCCTAAAAATTCCAAGTGGCTTGCAGAGAATCTTGATGGTAAGCAACTATGTTGCCCTGTCCCTTTTGTCCCTCAATGTAGTGTTAAGATCACTAAATGATGTTATCTCACCACATTGAGTCCTTACAGCAAATTTCCAAAGAGCTTAATGGTATAAATAAGGCTTATTAAAGAAATAGAATTGTCTAAATAATTATCCATTTAAAAAAAAATATATACTAGATGACCCTATGAAAATATAAAAATTAATTTTTAGGTTTAATAATAGTTGCATTGAGGTCGTTCCCTCTATGATGATCTTAGGTGTCAGGTTATCCTTACAGGAAGAAATATAAACTACATCACAGAGTATCCCAACTCCTTTTTCTTCTTCTCTTGGTCCTAACTCTATCAGTTAAAAGAACACGAAAAAATTATGAATCACTAGGTTCTTATTGCTCTGTGGATTACACTCTGTCAACAAATTTTTACCAGTAACAAGCTCTAGTTTATAAGTTACATTTCTTTACTATGTATACCTAATGCTGTTTCATATTAAATTTCTGTTGCCTATATTTTTGGGATCTGCCTTCTATTTTGGTTCATTTCCTAAAAGATTCAAGGTAAAAACAATTAAGGTAGACAACGGTTTGATAATTTTAGTCATTTTTTATGCAATAAACTTTTATTATGAATTCTAACTTGGGATACCTTTGTGCGATTGCCATTCCTTAATATCAATAGTCATTTTGCTGAAAGAGGATCAACTGTTTCTTAAATTTTCATTTTAAATTGCAAAAATCTTTTTACCCTGTTATAGTTTTGATTTCCAAAATGTCAAACAAGAAAATAACAAAAAGATCTGTGACAATAGAAATGGACCGAAGCGTGAGGCGGATGTTAAAGCTTATTGAAGAGGACGGAGATTCTTTTGCAAAAAAGGCTGAAATGTATTATCAGAAGAGGCCAGAATTGATTTCTCTTGTTGAAGAGTTCTACCGCATGTACCGGTCTCTTGCCGAACGTTATGATCACGTGACAGGAGAACTGAGGAAGAATATTCCATCGGACCTCGTATCTCAGGGCTCAGGAACTTCTGATAGACAGCTCCTTTCCCAGGGATCAGGCCATTCAGACAATGGTTCTGAACCGACAACCTCCGCATTGCCCTCTCCTGTGCCTGAAGGTAGGCTACCTCCTCGTAAATCCAGTCACAGAGCTGCTGGTTTTGATTTTTTCCTTGGTGCCGGTGGAAGTAGCTCTGATCTTCAGAAAGAAGGAGATGAATCATCTACACTAACAGATTCCGATTCAGAATCTGATGACTCCTCTATAAACAATTACTCAGGTCTATTAGGAACTGGTGGTGATAATGGAATGAGCAGGAAGATAATGGAATTAGAGATTGAACTACGAGAAATGAAAGAGAAACTCCAGGCGCAGCAGGAGGATAACGGAGATAACTCATATAAGGGGATAAGGAATGAGAATTCTGAGAATCTTCTTTCCAGGATTGCCACATATGAGCAAGAGCTGAAGATTGCTAATCAGAGGATACGGCTTTCCGAAGAAGAGGTGGCTAGATTGAACATTGACCTCCAAAAATATAAAGCACAGGAATCAGCCAATGCGTTACAGCCAGAGTCCGCGTCCCCGAAAGTAGAAAATCTTGAGACTCAGGAGGTGGAGCTGGAATCTGAGATGACTGGGGTATCAGAATTTCAAGAAAATATTGATGGACTTGAAGCTGAAACTGAGGAATCCAATAACAAGATTAAGGCACTGGCAACTGAACTCAGAATAACAAAAGGGAAGTTACAAGAAGCAGAGAAAGGAATTGCTAGGCTAAAGCTCGAGAGTGATAGATCATCCGAAAAGGTCAACATTTTGCAGGATCAGCTTGCATCGACTCATAAAGACATTAATACATGGAAAACAAAGTTCAATACAGAAAAAAAAGAGGTCTTGAAGCTGCAGGAACGAATTGCAAGGTTGAAAAGTAGTTTATCAGACAGAGATCATGAGATCCATGACTTGAAACTAGCAGTTTCTGATGCTGAGCAGAAGATTTTCCCTGAAAAAGCACACATAAAGGCTGAAATATCAAGGTTGTTGGATGAACGGTCCATCTTGGATGAGCAGCTAAGAGAATGGGAATCGCGCAACCGTTCTTTAGAGGACGATATTAGAATGTTACAGATAGAAAAGTCAGAAACAGAGGAAAGACTCAACTCTGAAATTAATCATTTAAAGGAAGAAATCTCCGAACGAGACAGCCACATAGAAAATTTGAATAAAACTCTTAATTCTTTGAAGTTGGAGAAAGAAGAGCTCAATGTGCAAGTTGCAGCACTCAAAGCAGAAGTAACATCTAAAGATGATAAGATCGATCAAATGAATAAGCACTTGCATCAATTACATATGGAGCATGTTGAGCTTATAGCAGGAGCCAAAGCTGCAAGTAAATTGGTCGATGAGTTAAGATCGAAAGCGAAGAATTTGGAGGAAGAAGTTGAAAGGCAAAGAATCGAAATCCTAGAAGGAGCAGAAGAGAAAAGGGAAGCTATAAGGCAATTGTGTTTCTCACTTGATCATTATAGAAATGGGTATTATAGGCTTAAGCAAGCTTACGGACACAGGAGAGTACCTGTTTTGGCAGCGTAAGTTAGTGTGTAATATCAATATTAATTAATTGTATGCTTTATTTTATATTTCTGATTACTGAGTTTGCCTAGGTTTACTAGTATTGGTGAGAACAGTATTTATTGGAGTTGGAGGAATAAGCATTTACCATGTTTGAGGCCTTGCTATTTATTTATTTATTTTTCTTTTATGTACAACCTGTTTGGGTGAGTGCGACGTTTAAGTTGCATGTGCTTCTAATGGAAGATAAATGAAAGCAAACTTTCCTTCTCTTACGTACGTTTCTCATTTGCTCTTGTTTCAACAAACTGTCTTGGTGTCTATAAGGCTTCTTCCATTTACTTTGGTCTATTTTCACAAATTACAATTTGCAGCCAGTCTTCATAAGTTTGGTTAGTTCTACACCTAAAACTCACGGGATTTACTTGCTTAGATGTGGTACATGACCGTCAAATTAATGAAAATAGAATTTATTGAAATTATGGTATTTTTGACTATATATTGAGAACAAAAAAAAAGAAACTGAGAATAATTTTTAAAAAATTTCTATTTTTATTGATTTGGTCTGTTATAGACCCAGTCTAGGTAAGTATTTTTCTAAACATTAAGATGATTTTTAGTTTTAGTAATCTTTTTACTATTTAGATGTGTATGCTTCATTTGATTAATCAAATCACATGAACAAATCACGATAGTTTTTTCAAAGTGTGGCAAATGATTGAAATAAAAATTATTTTATTACTAAGAACTCTTTTTATTCTTTTTCCCAATTTTGGTGACTTTAATATGATTTGAAAAATTCAAATTGTTTGTAATTTTATCCAGTTAATGAAGTTGCTAAAGTATACAGTAGCGTCACAACACAAGCTCTTATATTCAAGAATTTTGAAGGCAGTTATTGCAACATGGTAAAACAAGATTACAGTGCTAATATTACTCCTTGTAGTAAAACTACATAGATTGTTACTGCTTCTGATAAGTGAAATCTAACAAGGCCCTTTAGTGATATCTGCAGCCTTCCAATCTTTATAGTTTTGAAACTGGTAAACCTGAGACAATTATAAAAAGAAGGTCAAGGGATATCTTAATTGTGGATAGAAGCAAATAATTAAGGAAACAAGCTGGTAAATCACCATATTCAGCCTTGAGTTTACTGTAATTAGCACTTTAGTACCTAATATTTCAAAAATTAGCACCTTTGTTCCCTAAACTAAATTTAGTAGTGCATGTTTTAAGGGTCTAAAATGTTTTACAATATAATAGTTCAACCCACACACATACATATATATTAAATTTTAGATGTTAGCGTTTGTAGGCTAAAACATCAAGGACTAAAATTGTGTTCGGAAACAACTTTTTAAGTAGCTTTTAGCATTTTGATTTGTCAAAATGCTAAACGCTATTTTTTATAGTATTGGATAACATAACGTTTAAACTAGCTTTTAGAGATTAACGTGACGTTTCATAAAAAGTTAACCCATATAATATTTAGTTTTTACCGTTTTATAAAAAGTTACTCAAATATCTAAAAACTATCAAAACAGTTAATTTTGCCGAGCAAACCTTACAGTGTTCAGTCATTAAAAAATCCCTTGAAACTGTTAGTTTTAGAAAAGCTTGGACCAATGTGCTAATTATAGTAAACTCATATAAATATTACCCAAGGATTTTGCATTGACAATACTCGGACTTGCAGCCGGAGGAGGAGCATTCTCATTCAGGAATGGCTCTACTCGATTTGGATCGCCCCAGACCGGATATCCTTTAATCTTTCCCTGCAACGCATCATGGAAAAGGCCAACACAGTGAAATATCAGATGCATTGAACTTGAAAGAACAATTTCATGTTCAAGTTAATCGTCCACTTGCAACTTAAATTTTCAAAACTTTAACATACCAGTACATTCAGAGCTGCTAGAGTCGCCATTCCTTCGCGAGTCCACTATGAACACCACAAGGCAGAACATTTTACAGATATAACTAATTAAACAAAGAGAAGCAGAAATTTTGAACCAGAATAGAGATGTTCTTCGATGCTTGAATAGCATGTACCTTTGAAGCAGAAGCAATATGAGGTACTACAATGGCATTCTTCATTTCAGCAAGTCCAGGTTTCATGTATGGTTCATCCTAATAACAGAAATCAATGAAAAATTATATGTGGACTTGGCAGAGGTTTAGTAGCCATGCTTGTGAATTTGGGAGAGAGAGAGAGAGTTCAGTCACCTCGAAGACGTCAAGACCAACTCGAAACATAGGATTTTGTTTCAAATGTTCCACAAGAGCCACTTCATCAATCACCGGACCCCTGCTACAGTTTATGAGGATTGCTTCCTACGGAAACAGATTAAAGTTTACTAGTTAGAAATGAATTTGAAATATAGAATTAATTTACAAACGACAGAATTTGGTTTATTTATGTTGAATTACATAAAATTTTAACTTTTAGAAGTGAAATGAACATGTATTCATTTATACCAAATATGAAAATATGAAATTCCGTATCAATTTCGCAAAGTTTTTTGGGTCGATACCAAACAAGGCATTAATGGTAGAAGGACGTTTGTTTAAAGTTTTACCTTCTTCATTGTTGCAAGCCTTTCTTTGTTGATCAAGTGATAAGTTGTTTTGTCCAAGATCGGGTGAAGACTTATCTACAAGAAAGGTCAATGGCAATCATGCAGCTTCCAACCAGAAATTTAACTTTAGACTTAAAAAACACATTAAATTCTGAGAAAAAGAGTCGCACCACATCTGCCTCGCGAAGCACTTCATCCATGCTGGCTGCCCTTTTCCAAGTAACCGGCTTTTCCCCATTGGCTTGTAAGAATGCACCATAAGCTGCAATTATGAAGCACATTATCAAGCAAATAAGAGTCGTGAAACAATCGAATTTCAAAGACTGTTTGTGGCATACCCGTAACGAACTTCTCTAGCCGTGTGGCTTGGTAAAGATCATAGTAAATTAGATTCATTTTGAACCCCTCAACCTGGTATGATGTAAAGGAATTAATTAATTTTCTTAAACATGAAAATATATTCTAGCCGTGTGGCTGTTAAAGATCATTAGTAAATTAGATTCATTTTGAACCCCTCAACCTGTATGATGTAAAAGGAATTAATTAATTTTCTAAAACATGAAATATATATATATATAAATATATATATAATATTATAATTATATATTAATATTATATATATATATGCTTTCACACTTCTTATATATATATATGCTTCACACTTCTTGTTCAAGTTTTTAACTGAACAAATATTAAATATGAAAGAAACTCCAATCCTCGTTGTCCACCAAAATGATAATGAAGTACAAGAGTTAACAATATATGTAAACGGAATGATAATGGATTCACACTATATTAGCTTTTGTTCATTGGTATATGAGTTGTTTTTAGGACTGAAATTATAACTTTGAACCCCAGTCAAGAGTCAATAAAGCAAAATAGAGAAAGAAAGTTTAGTTCAAGCTTCAAACTTTTGGCATATATTATATTTTAACTCTCTATTTCATTGATGTCTAATTAATTCTATTCATTTAAAACTGATCCACCACTTGTGCTTGTAAAAAGTTCATGCAAGTTTGTCGGTGCACTAATCAACAAAGCACTTAGCATGTAACTGATCTTACTAATTCAGGCCTAGAGATAAGGCATTTGATGTGAAATTCAGTTAAAAAAAGTTTACCATCATTCTGGCATAAGCAGATCCAATACGACCAGCTCCAATGACACCAACAGTCTGTCCTTTGAGCAAATTCCCGACAAACCTATCAGAATGACAAAGCCAAATCATGAAAATTGCTCTCACGGAAAGCATTTAAAATCCAGTACATATATTGATAATCACTAATGTATGTCATACAAATGAGGAAGCCATCCATCATATAAGCCTGCCCTCATAAACTCGTCAGCTTCAACTATTCTTCTAGCTGCTGATAAAGAAAGTGAAGCTGCCAACTCAGCTGTTGTCTCTGTAAGAACTCCCTAACAAAAGTAGCAACGAAAAATCTAAATATAAAAATTTTCTGCCAATAACTAAATTTGAACAAATCATACATTGATCAACATATTCACTCACATATATTTATACAGATATATAGGTGCTTCAGCTTCGTAAATTACTCAATTTGACATTTTGCGCATAAAATTATGAATTCACTACTATGGAACAGAAATAATAGTTAAGAATACATAAAATAGCCATAAAAATAAGTGCTTATAAGTGTTTATTTGGTCTTGTTGTTTGAGCTGCTATTTAGAAACTCTATGGTGAAAATATTGTTGATGTCAATAAAATTTATTTTTCATGTGGAGTTCACATCAGAAAGAAAAGAAGTTCGAGCTTACGGGAGTATTTCCAACAGCAACACCATACTTATTAGCAGCATTAACATCAACATTGTTGTATCCAACAGCCATGTTACTAAAAGCCTTCCCTCCAGCTTTGCTTAAAGCTGCAAACAAAGTCTCTCCCCAATCTTCTGTCAACTGAACCAAAATCCCAAAATTTCACCTTAAAACCAAATTCCAAAAATATAAACACAATCATTTCCACTCAATAATAATATTCAATTACCTGGCCAATTACCCCATCGCACTTATCTCCAATTAAAGCAATAATATCCTCAACAGACAATATTGTTTTCTTCTCTGTGCATATCTAAACACAAAAAATAATAATTTAAAAAAAAAAAAAGATTAAAGAGTTCGTCAAATTCTCATGATCAATTCAAGAAAAAGGGCAAAGGAGTTTTCATAAAGAACAGAAAGGTTATCACCTCAACTCTGCAATCTTGCTCAATTAAGAGGTTGATCCAACGAGTTCCAGGCATGGATTTTGTGCTCACAACTCTGTATTTCCCACTTGGGTTCCATACTTCAATTGAAACTGGTTTTGCCATGGCAAGTTCAAGCCACAGAGAGTTGAAACAAGAATGCCAGTGTAAACCAAGCAAAAAGAAAAAGTGTGAGACGTTTTTTAAATTTCTGGTAGTCCAGGAAACGGACTGTGGTATAGATATGCTGTGGTGGTGCGCAAATTATATCTGTACTCTTTTGCAAATCAGATTTAGATTGTTGACTTTGACATCTACTGGTTGGCTTCTATTCAAGGACTTAAATTATTATGATGGTTTGGTTGACCACTGGATGTAGTTTGTTTAGATAGCGCAGGGATGTTTTGTGGTGGTTTTTAATGGTTGGCTTTTGGACCTTCAATTTGGTTTGAGATAATGGTGACATTGGCTTTTCCTATGAATGACACGTTATATGAGTTTTATCTTTTCTCAAATGACATAAATGACCCTTTTTGATTGGACAATATGTGTCCATGTGTCATTCAGTTTGTTTCTTATGTGAGCATGGGAAACAAATGACCCAATGATTTGTCTTTTCCATTCCCTCATTTCCTCTCTCGGACAGTTTTGGTAAATAGTACAGTTTAAGCAAGTTTTGGGCAAACTTCATTGCAAAGTTAATTACTCTAACCTAAGTTGATATTTATCAGTTCAGTTCCCAAAATATATAAATTCACTCCTTTAACATTGTTATTTTAACCTTTTAGAGTATATAAAATTCAATCTATTTAAAAATTATTGTTTTAACCTTTTAGAGTATATAAAATTCAATCTATTTGAAGACGGAGCGGATATGTATATATCAATCCAGCCCCAACCTACCCGAACCCGATCTCGATCTAACACAGGGATAGTATCCAGCGTACACTAACTTTTTGTTGGTGGGTTCGATACAAATATTATAAAATCTGACTGGTATCGGACCCAATATCATCTCTAAAAGAAACTCAATCATCCAATATCATCTCTAAAAAGAACTCAACCATCTCACCATTTGACTTGAGATTATTATACCAACTCAAACCAAAAAACTTTAACAATTTATTAGCGGAAATTAAAAAATTCAATAAAATTGTAAGTAAAATGAATTCAATGTTACAAGGATAATAATTGTTGGAATCGCTAGTAATCTCCGATCAGCCATTCGCCAGTGAATTTGTTCCTGGCAGTTTCCTCTTCAAAATTCATCTGCAGTATCAGGACCTTCAGTGGGTTTTCATGGTACACTTGATTATTTCAACTAGTCGAAATGACAAGCTCAACAAAGGCTTGGATAATACTCAGATGACATCTTAAAAGCAGAGAGGTCTTTAATGGCCTGCTCGGAATCTCTTTCTGCTTCGAATTCTTTCAAGTCCGTGTTGCAACCCCAAACCCTAACTACAAGTCTTCTGCAATTGGGAGATGATTGTTGCAAATACGTTTTGTACCAACTGATAACGTCATCCTTGTGAAGCTTTTGCACTTCTTCTGCTTCCTTTTGTGAGAAGTCGAACATATACCTGAATCCATCAATGATGAGGAATATAAATAGCTTGGGTAGAAGTATACACAAAATGTTTGTATATGTTACCGTCTGGGAACTCAAAATTTGCACCATTTTTAATTGAATTCCATTCTGCCAATTCTCATTTTTGGAAAAGATATAATTAATAAATTCAATTCAACTTAAAAATAAGTCATTTTCAAAGAAATTAAATCATGTCTAACAGTGCTATAATTTTGCAAGCATTCAATTCATTTAATGAAAAATCACAATTAAAAACCTAATATATCCTTGTTTAAATTAAATGTTTCCTGATATAAATGAAAGCAAAATGCGAACATAGACAATTTCATTTTACTTTTCAAGTATTTGAAATTATAGAATTAAAAGAATTCTACTATATTAAAATTTATTCCAAACATATAAAATACGAATTAATAGAATTCGATCGGAGTCATTTTGGATAAGTGTGCATGTGAGATGATGGTGAATTTAGATGTGTTTTAAGCAAATTATTATGAAGGTGAACACGATGCCAAATCCAAATCCACCTTCATTAAAAATCGACTATCTATTCAAATGGACCCCTGAATTGAATTTTCTTCCTCATTTTTTTCAAACCCTGTGTGTGTTGTGTATATCAAAGCCAAAAAATAAGTTAGACGGACAAGATGATCCGCAGTATCCATGTTGTGATATCCCAATGACTTGAAAAAAGCTCTTATGTTTAACGTGATGATGAGTTCTTTGTTTCGGGATCTGGTAGCTTACTGAAATTTGACAATTACCATCTCACAACAGCCTAAAAACATAAGAATAGTACCTTTTATCGACGATCTGATTCCAGAGCCGATTAGTTTCATACTGAAGGGAAGGATCTTTTTCCAGTAATTTAGCCATTAACCCATTTCTATAGTTCTCAAAGGATGTGTCATCAAGCCCTTCCTGTGATGCCCACATTGAAACTTTTGTTAGCAGCAGCGGAATAAAAAATAAGAAAAGAAAAAAAAAAAAAATGGAAGTACTAAGGTACTTGGTTGCCACGTCAAAAACAAAGCGACTTGATTTCAACTGAAATGTGGCAAAGGGTTACCTAATTGATTTACAAACTAGAGTGAAGCATTTTATTTGAAAAAATTAAATTTAAGTTACCACATTAAGTTTTAGAATTAAAGGATGCCTTCAAAATGATGCAATTCCTATGAGGATCTGAACAACTAAATCATTTACAGACAGCAGATACTCCTTGTAAATGGTATATAATTATACAATGACCTTAACTAGGACAACAACTAGAACACACTTTAAAGCAAACTAAAAATCCAAAATCCATGAAACTAGCAGTATTACCAACAACTTATCTAGGTCAGAAATGAAGTTGTCAATTCTCCCCTGCAAGTAAATTGGGTTGTATTTGGAAGATTGAACACAGAAACAAAACCCATAAATACGATATGTTACTCTTGGGCTGCATTCAACAACATAACCAAGCTGCTCCTTTGTCCTATAATCCAAAATAAATGAAAAGCTTTTAGAAAGAATGAAATGACAAATGACCACATCAATATAGATCCTTACTTAAAACTCAGTCAGATTCATGGTAAATGAACATGAATATCACGATATCATTTATGTCAATCCAAGGAACCACATGGACAAAAAAATGCACCATTGTTTACATATGCCTAAAGGGAAGCTGGATATAAAGTTCAGTAAAGTAACCACACTGATCTGTTTGAAATATCATAGGAATATCTTTCAACAACAAACAGCTCTCAAATGCTCTCAAAATAGGTGTGCACCCCTAACCAAAGGATGATAAATATGAAATGCTTCCAGCAGCAGAAAACAGTTACCTTAGCTGATTAAAAAGTGGTTCTTCGACAATTTCATCAAAAAGATCTATCAATGCCTTCAATTTTATGGATTTTGACTCTGTTTCCGGCTCAATTTGGAAATAAAGCTGCAATATGAAACAGAAATCAAGGAGAAAGTAATAGTGTAATAATTTAAGTTTGATAGAAAAAAGATATGTACATAATATACAGAAAAATACAGGAAGTTAGTAAAATTATCAGTCACCTCAACAACAGAGTTTGTTTCAGATTTATTCTTCACTTTGACATCTCTTGCCAGGTTGGAACCAGCAGGAAGACATAATACATGCTCCTCATGCCTCATATTCACAGGGAGTGGTTGTACAAGAAAGGTGCTTTTGAATATATTTGATATGTTGATTGCTTCTTCTTCCAACAAATTACCATGGCACAGACCCTCAATATAAAGCTGTACAATAAGAAAATGGGAGTCAGTTGAACGTGTACAAAATACAGCCGTAATACATCAAAACGAACAATGATAGTCTTAATGTGAAGAATAAAAATATTGGCATGTATTTTATTTGTGCACCTGGGAACGAAGTCCAGGAATAAATGCCTTCAAATCAGCAAGACACAGATCACTTAAAACACAAAGCTTCTCCTCTACATCATAGAAGTTCTTGCAGAGAACTTGAAGTCTCAAGTATGATGAATGCTTTAGAGGCTTCATATTGGCATTCTTCAAACTTCTTTCCATATCCTCTTTTATAACCTTTATTCAGTGAATTTAAAATGGACAGTCTGATAAATAAGCAATGGAACTGAAAACTTGCCATCTAAATGCAATGTGAGATTAGAGTCTGCCATTCAGTTGAAAGGTCATATGTACCTTAAACCGATCATTGATAGGGACAAAAGAGTTGGCTATCACCAAAATCTTAGACAATAGAACTGGAACCTTATCATTAAAACCATAAACCTTTAGCTCCAGCTTATCACCAACAAAAGATACAGATGTTTCCAACTTGGCAACACTCGCCTGCAAAGAAAAGTAAATGGTTACTATCACACAAAATTCTACATACAATATGGAAAAAACAAACAGATCAAGTGGAATATGAAGGTCAGGAAATAAATTACAAAGCAATAATCAAGAAAATAAACAAGTATCAACCATCTGCCAAACAGGCTGATAGAAGGATTCCATTGAACAAGATTTTCTTTTTTTTGTTATAAAAAACAGACTTTTCAAAAGTAGGTTAAACAGTAAATATCACACCTTTAACAGTAAAAAATGCAGAGGGATGTTGTAAAAGTTTACCCCAAAAGAAAATGTATTTTAGTCTATCAGAAAACTGTCTATTCTATAAACAGCATCAGCATTCTTAATACACCCTTATTATAACAAGGTATAAGCAGACCATCATGTCAGATCGCTCAAGTTGACTCATTTGCAAGTTCCATCACTAGTTATAAATCTGCATGAAATGCATTTAGGTTTTCCCCAACAACAAATTCAGAAAAATACAAGTCCCTCATTGTAAAAAGCTAATAATTGCTCATAATTAAAGAAGACCAACTAACCTGGTATATAATCTCATTTAGTTCGTCCTTGAGAAGGTTAATAAATAGCTCAGTTAGAATACAACTCTTCACATCATTGTATGCCCCTTTTAAATTCATGCGGAAGTATGTATTTGTACGAGGAAGTTTAAAAGTGTTGTCTGGCTTGTACCAGAACTTCATCAATGCTCCATCAATTATACATCTTGGCAAAGATGAGTTTGTGTCGTTTGAGTTATCAGCACGGATAGAGAATTCACATGGAATAAACTCATTCTTTGAAGGCAGATGTAATGAAACATCAAGTACTGGTGGATCCTTCCACAATTCCATCAAAGAAGGGGGAATATGTTCTTCAATGTAACGTGATCCGAACCAAGGCTCAAATTGGAAATCTGAAAGAGGGGGTGGCAAAGGAGAGAGTCAATAACCCAGACTAGATGAGACACATGGAATATTCTATATGTTTCTAGCAAGCAATTAAACTTCAAGTTCACACAATTGGAAAAACATTTCATAACAATCTATAAAAGCATGTATAGTTTGTTGATAGGCAATAGAGAACTATAGAAGCTTTAACTAATAACTTGGTCTCACTAGGGACGCCATCATTCCACACTTTTCAGAAAAATTCTAAACTAAAGTGAATATGTGGTGTCTTATGTGACAATGCCTAGGCATAAGTAAATGATACAGATAATACTTCCTTCAGTAATGATGACACAACATTGGCAGGTAATCGTTTCACTAATCAAATTTAACTATTTTATTAAGATTATACGGCTTTAATGTGAAAATGGGTCAGAAGCTGTAGATTTTTAAATAATTAGGCCTTTAGTAATAACATGATCAAAAAGCTGGACTAGCAATTACCCTGTGAATCCATGAATGACTTTGATACCACATCAATCCTCATGTTTTCTGGTTTGAAGAAACCCAGGAGATGTCTTATCATTTCCTCATCCCAGATCTTGTGCACATAATCTCCATAGATGACATGTTCTGCTGGGTAAACAAGCAAATTCTCTGCAACAAAGAACTCTCAGGCATCAATAGCCAAAGGAAAATGAAAATATTATGTCAGACAGATGAGGAAAATAAAGGCTCAGTCCCAAACAAGTTACAGTTTGTTCTATGGCATTTTTCTTTTTACCATTTCATTCCATTAACAGTGCTTTGCTGCGAGAACCACCTAAAAATAAGAGAAGGAAATTTAACATTCTCATCTTATTATGGAAATTTTAAATTTGTGAAAGTCACATTCCTTCACCTGAGGGCCAGACTAGTACTTTCCATGTACATGGAAAAATACATTCCCAACCTTAATTAATGGCAGGAATGTTTCTTCCTGTAGAAATGTGAATGTCTGGACAATGTTGATCCCCTATTATCATTTAATTTGACCACAGTATGCTTGTTGACATTATTATTAATAGGACCATTTTCTATTATTAAAAAATAAAGTCTTATAACCCATTATAATAAATATAGAATTTCACTTTAACATAATATGTCACATAAGAACTCTTGAATGGAAATGGAAAAGAGATGTAACTCCAGTTCCTTCAGAAATGGTAAGATATTTGGTGCAAGAAGAAGGGGTTGCTTCATAATGTTGATAAACCAAAGAAGACGTATATTATATACACAGAACAATTAGAAAATGAATCTACTTCATCTGCAAATTTTTATATTTATTGCAATAATGAACTATTTGGTATTATGGATCATAATAAGTGTTCTAATAATAATCACTTCCAATCCTATTTTGTTGAATTTTAAAATAATTTATCTTTTTTGAATAAGGAAAAAGGTTTATTATCATATGAGTGAACTGAATTTCCAAATCCAACGTGACATTGACTTCAATTCTCAAATCTCAGCAAAATGTATAAGTGCAAGACAGTCATTAGTACTAAAAAAGCAACTTGTAAAGAATGCACCATAAAAACCAGCTGAAAGGAAAAACTACAAAGCTAAACCTGCAAGTTCTGCAGCATAATCATCCTGTGGTTGCTCTTCTGCAAATCTGAATTCCATGTTTCCAATATCCTGAAGTTCCTTAAATATCCATTCTTGTGGAGAAACTTGGCGTAGCAGCTTGAGGTATTGATAAACAAAGCCAATGATGTCAAAAATCTGGAAATAAAAATATAGCAGTAGCATGAGTATACCATGAGTTGGTGACGGCATAAAGTGACAAATAATTGCTGAAGCAAGCTAAAATGAAAGTTCTTTTTCATCAATAAACAATTACTGCACTCAAATTGCCAGCTAGGGCATGATCACTATCAGGAGGTATGAGTGGTCATAATAGACATGGGATGGGAGTGGTATAAAAGTGACAGGATGATCAAACAACAACAGTTTTTTCCCTGTTTCTTTCTCAAAAGGAAGCTGTAAAATAAAAGTAGATAGGAAAAGAAATCAATATCAAATTAAAATAGAAAGAGGTGAGAAGTGAAAGGAAAAAGATAGTCTGTAAGTTTAACAAGAAGGTATGGGCATATGTGGATGCAGTGTAGATGTATGTGTGGGTGTGGGTGTGAAACAGAGAGACAGAGAAGGTACAAAGGTCTTTAGCTCTGTAAGTTTATTCACTATACAAAGCTTTCGATAACTTCCCATAGAGAACTAACACAATAGGAAGTGAATAAATCTCACTACCCATGAGTTATGATTAAGGAAAACATCCCTAGATGGGCATGTGATGAATCGCATCAATAGCATCCCCTCAAATTCCTCCAAGAAAGCAAAATCATAAATAAAATTCTTCAAGAACATAAGGATTGCAGCACCAAATACAGACAAACTCAAAATTTGGAAATGATCCCAAAAATACATAGAAGATGGGACAAAAGCATTACCTTTTCCAAGCCAGAGTCAGTGAGATGAATGGACATGCCAAAGATATAAGCTACAGTTGATCTATGCATTCCTTCATCTCCAACCCCAGCAGCCAAAGAAGTTGCCCATCCTTTAGCCTTGAGAAAGGAATGTAAGCTTCCTCTGCCCTCTGCAAGGTGTAAACCTTGTGCTTACAAATGAAACTCAAGCTAAAAGTATCTGACCAACAGTAATCATATAAACTTCATGACCGAAGATGTCCAAGAAAACCAATATAAACTACATTCTACTACCAACGAGAAACCTAAAGCATGAATTGATGCTGCACATACATTTAGGAAAAAGTGAGACCAACTATATTCTGTTTTTTTTTTTTTTTTTTTTTTTGCCCCATCCTTTAGCCTTGAGAAAGGAATGTAAGCTTCCTCTGCCCTCCTGCAAGGTGTAAACCCCTTGTGCTTCAATTTGAAACTCAAGCTAAAAGTATCTGAACGCAACAGTACATCATTATAACTTCAATGACCGAAGAATGTCCAGAAAACCATATAACTACATTCTACTACCGAACGAGAAACCTAAAAGCATGAAATTGAATGCTGCAATACATTTAGGAAAAGTGAGACCCAACTATATTCCTGTTTTTTTTTTTTTTTTTTTTTTGCATGTACATTCCAGTTTTGCCGTCATGAAATTATATTTTTTTTTTTTTTTTTTTTTATGCATGTACAAATTCCAGGTTCTTGCGTCATGAAATTATATCTGATTTGGGTGAGAAATTACATATCTCAAGTTCTTTGAGCCTAGAAAGGGAGTGATTGATTCTAGCAACATTTTTGTCATCAATGCATATTTTGTGCTAACTTCACACTCCCATATCCCATTATAAACATAGGTTATATATGCATGAACTGTGCAATCACAGAGTTTCTTTACTGAAAAGCAAGTGGCCCTTTCTTTATAAGAAGGTGAATAACCAATAAACTATGCAACAATTCAATAAACTATGCAATAATTTATCTTACCATGCCCCAAGAGATGGGCCAAATAATCTTCAGATTTCTTCAAATAATCTTGACGAAGACATGGCAGTGTCCATGTTAAGTCAAGGATGTGAACATCTTTAACTGCCTCTAATCTATAAAGTTTACCAGCTGTCCAGACAGAACCTTGTACCTGAAACTTTGGCTTTGCCTGAGGACCTTTTCTGACATTAGAAAATAACTCTGCAACCCAATTCTCGAGTATGTCCAGAGACTCTGCATCAGATAATAGCATTGTCATCAACATAAATTCAATACACGCTCCCAAAGAAAGTTCCCCACTTTTCCCAATTACAATCTAGCCACATCTTTTAATAATTTGAAGTATCATTATCACTTCTACATAATTTCATAAATACATAGGTAATGCAAAACACAATGTTCAAATGTTTTCTAGTCAAATATTAATTCTTACAATTAACCATCTACAGCTATTTATAACCAACTTTGACACTACACAAACACTGGGCTATAACTTTTCCTAGTGCTACCACCTTACTGTTATTTCCAGCATAATCCTGATCTTCATTTTCATCTAATCATCCCAATCATTTAGAATATCTCCATTTCCATGGCACCCAATGATCTACAAAAGAAAACCCTTACTTCTGAATGCAACAAAGAACTAAGTGCACTCCAACAAATTGACTTACCTTGTGTCAATTTCTTTTCCTCTCATCTGAGTACCTCCTAAGCACTATATTACATGGCATATATCATGAGAATCATGAAAGAGAAACTTTACCTCCTCCAATGACAACTAGCTTCATCAATCCACCATGGTAGTAATCTCTGTATAATTTCAAAATATGTTCCCTCAAATTTATTCCTTTTTCCATAGCATCAATAAGGCTCTTCTTATTCCCTTCCATGAAAACAAAGAAAATTATGCTGATTCACATAAACAGACAAATAAGTCCTAAAAAATATAACAGAAGCAAGCTTACCACAAAAGAATCTGTTAAATGGATAACCAGGTCCTGATGTATGGCACTGGAGCTGTTGGAGGCGGCAAGCATCATTTTGCAAAACCTGGTTAAACTCTATATCCATTTTGTTTTGGATATAACAGGAAAATAGCAAAATAAAAATTCAATTTCAGTACAGATGAAAGCTAAGCTCTTAAGAGAGACAACTGAATGGTGGATAGAGAAAAGTTGCGCACACCTGAATCTACTGCAAGCACCTCTCTTTCCATGGCTTCAACTTTCACAAGAGGTGAAACAAAAAACTGAGAAAATCTGACAAAGCAACAACAGACACATAAAAATCTAAAGCATTTTCTGTATCTTAAAGGCATTTTTCACATAATAATATAATTGTAACAAAAGAAAAACACTACAAAGCAAGCACTGTATGCAGGGCAAGATATCATAACAAGAAGCAATAATTATCATCTAATACATAATATCAACATATTTTTGAAGCTAGGAAAAACACAGACACAATAATCATCAATGGAATGATCACAATGACCAAACAAATAAAAACAGACAGTAATGTCCATTGACAGTCAGTATGAGCCTTGCAGCCTCACTTGTTCCTTGCTGCTAGGTCTCGCCCATCACATGCATTTAACTTGTATGATTATAAAAACTTCAGATGAAATATAAAAATAATTCTAGTTTGAATAAAAGAGAAAAATTATATGGTGAGTTAAAGCTGCAATATGTATTTGACCATGACAAGTGGACATACAATCAGAACTCGCAAGAAATTATATACCCGATATCAACATGAACAGCATCAGGAAAGACCATAGCATCTTTCACCTGTACATATGGCTCCACATGCACATGCTTGTGCATACACATATAGAGGAACCAAAGAGATCATTTTGACATGCACATGCACAGGCACATACAAAAGTGGAATTAGTAATTTAGGTCTTTGACTATCAAATTACTGTCCAGTAAGCATCAGTCAATTACCTTCTTAAGGCACCCTGAAGAAACTCGGGTTTGACTTCAAAATGGTAGCATGTATGCTCAGTCTCAGTGTATGCATTTGATGAGCCTCCATGCTTGGACAGGTAACTATCATACTAGCAAATAAAATAGTCAAGGTGGCAGACCAAGCTACAATTATATTATTGCAACCAGATTATTTTCAATTTAATAGGAGTGGCAAATGAAACATACATATATCTTGTCCAAACAACTAGCATAGGGTTCAACCATTATAGGACAATAAAACACTATGGAAAAAACTACCACAACAACATATTAGGATAAATATTTCTTTCAATTGTCCCTTAAGAGGCATCTGTTGCCCTTAAATATCAATGCCTTTCAAGAGTTAATAAAGTAACAAACATGAATGAGAAAAATTGTCTCCATAATTCCCATTGTCATACATCTAATATTCTTCTTTTACACATAAATTTCGGGAAAAAAAAAAAAAAAAAAAAAAAAAACTTCTTAAACTCCAACTTTTCCTAATTTTTCTCAGTATTGTTCCAGAAAGTGTCAATAAAAGACTGGTTACAAAACAACCTCAATTTTCATCTTGGGAAATCAGTAACTCCCCATGAAAGCATGTGTTCTGAAAAAGTATTAGCTTGTGGAGCAAATCGGGAAAAAAAAAAAAAAAAAAAACTTAAACTCCCAACTTTCCTAATTTTTCTCAGTATTGTTCCAGAAAGTGTTCAATAAAAGACATGGTAAAACAAACCTCATTTTCATCTGGAAAATCAGTACTCCCCATGAAAAGCATGTGTTCTGAAAAAAGTATAGGCTGTGAGCAAATATTGGAGTGACAAACTTATATCGAGCAGCATGAATTTTGAAACGAAAGAAAAATGCATGTTGTTTAAAAAAAAAAGTGACCTAGAAACAGAATGAGTAATCTCTTCCTTTATCCAAGAGAAGGTCTTAATAGTTGAATGCCTGCCTTGCAGCACAGGAAGTGATGGTTAGAACACTAAGGACACCATCCCCTCCTTTAAAAATTTCTGATATACACAAAAAGAGAGAGAGAGAGCTCATAGGGAGGAAAACACTGCGAGCAATGCAAGAAGTTTGGTCCTTTTATGAGCAGACTTTTCACTGTGTAAACCACAACACAAGTACTCCTGTCAACCAAAGTTGTTGGTAATTTTGTTTCCAAACCTCAGTACAACCAAACCACAAATAATTTTCTTCACTTTTGCTAGAAGAGTAGAACCTTTACTGGAGTCCATAGTTTACTTTCTTTTCAACACCTCCTAACAAACATAACGAGACTAACAACTTGAGCCCCAGCACTCTACCAATAATCTCCTTGACAAATGGTGTTCCATTAGATTCTTCAACAAGTATTGGAACTCAGCCTAAAACTTCTGGAGGTATAGTGTAAGAAACAGTAAGCTAGTGCTGCAAATTTTGACAATTTTTTTTCAACACAAGTACTTCTGTCAACTAAAGCCAGTGATAATTTTACTTCCAAACCACATTAGAACCCACACAAGTAATCTGTTTACGTTCTGCTAGAAGAGTAGAACCTTAACGAAGTCCAGAATTTACTTTCTTTTCAAGACCTCCCAACAAATATAACAAGATCAACAGCTTCAGCCTAGCACTCTGCCAGTAATCTTCTTGACACAACCTTTAATAACACTGATCTATTATACTTTCAACCTATTGGATCTCTGCTATCCAGCTTCTAGAGGTTTAATCTAATAATGTTTAGCTAGTGGTGCAAATTTCACATTTTTTTCTGCTTTATAACAAAAAGGAATGGAAATATTAAATATAATACAGTGGTAATCTTAAAAGTTACACTTAACATGGATATTTCCTGCCCAAATTAAAATTATTCAAATATATAAAGATTAAAAAAAAAAAACAAAAAGATTGCTTCCACACCAACCCAAAATAAAAAAAATAACAAAAGGACGCAATTCATAGACTGCATTCAATTTCTATAATGAAAATGAGCCAAAAGTGATCTCTAAGACTTTGAAAAAGATTCTACTGAATGATTTAGCTTCCACACTGTTAAAAGCAGCACAGGACACAATCACTAGATCTTAGCAAACAAACCTAAAAAATGAGCGAGACCCTGTGCCTCAACTGGGTCAGAGAAGCTGCCCATCGCTACACACATTGCTGCCGCTGCCTGCAAAGAGAATAAAAATCCCATCACTATATCACACTGAAGTCCATACTCATATCTCTTAGAAACCAACATTGCGAGCAAGTAAATAAACCAAACTTGTAAGTCCACTGTTCCTCAAAGCAGCACTATAAAGCAATAACAAAAGAGACTAAACATATACTATCCCACGCGGAGAGGGAAAAGCATAAATAAGGTATTAACTTGATAATCAGTGTAAAAGAACAGCGACATTGAACTTTCAGCTATCAATGTGAAGCAAAAATCCTCTCTCCAATCTTCAATCCGCTGTAAATTTGAATTTTCATTTAGATACAAGAAAACTAACCTTCTTAGTCTGCGAACCTTCCTTTCCTTTTCCCGCTCCTTTCACTTCACTATCATCTTCACTTTCCTCTTCTTCTTCACCTTCATCGTCATCCTCTCCTTCACTATCATCTTCTTCATCATCATCCTCATATTCTTCTTCTTCGTCATCATCATCTTCTTCTTCTACTTGGTGCGAGTTGCCTAGGGTTTTAGAATCCTGGTCAGGGTAAATCTCGGGATCGTGAACTAGCAAAGCGCAGAGACCATTTTCAAGCTCAATTAGTCTATAGAGTCGCCTATCATTGGGCGATTTTATCACTATATCGTCCGATTTAAAGATGCAACGAGCCACCATTGTTTGTTTCTTGGTTCTTTGAAACCGAGAGGAAAGAACAGAGACTGGTAAGGGTTTCTTCTGGAAACTGCAAGTTATTAGTAGGCCGCATACCGCAGAGTTGCAACCAAAACCTTTTGTTTCCATACGCAAGGTATCCTCAGCTTGGTTTGGTTCAATTAGTTTTTTTATTGTAGACCGCAACGTTTGTCCATTTAGACCATTTTAAAATACGCTCTAACTTTGAGGTTTATTTGAAAATAACTTTTAAGCTAGTTTTTATATTTTAAAAGTCAAAATTTTAATTGTACTGTTTGCTAACGTAATTTTTGTACTATTTGCTAACATAATTTTTATAATAATTTATAGAAATTATAACGTTTAACGGTTACCAAACATTACAATTAATAAATATAGTTAACATATTATTTTAGTCTTTAATGGTTTTATAATTGTCCTTAGACCTACTAGTGGTATGAATCCATGGGTATGGTGCTAGACTCACCACCATGCATATATTAATGTAAATTCGGATGTAGCACAAAGAAATATTGTTATATCTCAGCTATCACACCCTCATATCTCTCTCGTATGATCAAACTAGCCCATGTCACTTCATACAATAGCATGACAATGTGTTCCAAACACTTGCACCGTTACATCCTCCCCACTCAGACAAATCGTTGACCTCATCGATTGTGTTACATCCACTCTAGGCGTTCCACTTGCAGTTACTTTTATTTCCAACTTTCCATTGAAAAAGTTCTATGCATCTTCTTGTTGCACTACTGCGAAAAGAAAGAATGCTCCTTTGCATCTGCTTGTTGCGTTGCTACAAAAAGAAAGAATGTACTTTGAGTGGAAAATAAATGATTATACTTTGTACAACATTCTTTCGCTTATCTACTACATATTATCATTATCTATCCAATCAACTACCTTTCTACATAAAGGATTATACTTTATATTAATTACTAGTATTCTCTATATTACATCATTCCTCCCCTTTTAGCTAGATAGGATTTTCATATGTACTTTCTTCCACTCAAACAATCGATGACCTTGTCGATTAGGATAGTGTGCTTAGAGTATCATCTGCATTTCTCTTTGCACTAGGGTTCTTCCGTCATTAATTGATTTGCTTTTGAGTTGCGTCCATTATTATTCGAGTGCTCTTTATCGCTCGAGTAGATATTTGCCTTATGCTACTTCGTGCCGTTGTTATATGAACCTTACAAAATACAAACAACAATCCAAAGCAGTTACAAGATAGAAGTATATGTAATAAATTTTAAGTGCACATTCATATTTCGCAATGGTAATAATAATAAGCACAAAATGAAATAACACATCAAAATAAGAAAATGATATCACGTACACATATATTCTAATTAAACATCTGCACGTCTCATGATATATCTCTCGGTTTCATTATTCTTTTGCTGCATTTGTTATTTTATTCGTATTTTTAGAGCTTTGCCGTAACTGCAATACGAGTCAATTTACAATTGATTTACTATTGACTACAACTTCCTCTTTCACGATTCATTGTCGATTTCAAATTGCCTTTCTATGTGCCGTTTCTCTTGGAACATTGCGTGGTAGCCTTATGCTATATTGGTGCACATACTTTGCATAAAATCAATTTTATTTTTATAATTATTACCCTCTTTATAGAAGCTTAACTTATTGGGGCGTGCAGAACTCAATGAAGTACATATATAAAGAAAAATTATTTTATTGTGACACCTCAAGCCCTTTTGGTTTCATATGCATGATAGAAGTGTGATTTTTGCCATCTCTCTTTTGCTCTTATGGTCTTATGGACGATTGTCTCACATGCTACTCTTGACCAACTTGTCCTGTCCGAGGCAATCCATTTTGACTATTACCATATATTTACCCACGGTCTAATATATCATTCGTTAATCTAATAATCTATTTGCCAAGTTTAAAAATTTTGTTTTAACATTGCCCCACGGCCTCAACTGCAGATTGATATTCTTTCTGCCGAGTTTAAACTCTTATTTGACATCACTCATTGAAATATCAGTTATTGTCTAATTCCGCTGAACTTTAATATATTTCAACTCTATATTTGTGAGCAGCTTGCAATTCATTCAAGCTCTCCCATTAACGATCACATTTCCCTACTCATTTGACATTCTATGTGAAAACGCTTAAACGCCATTTAATAACATAATTTTTATAATATTTTTTAGAAATTGTAACATTGAGCAGTTACTGATCATTAGAATCAACAAAGATAGAGTTTTGATTTAATCAAAACGCTAAAAGCTGGCTAAGAGATATTGCTGAATATTGTGCTAATCTAGTTGCAAGGTGTAATATGTGATTTAAAAATTTGTTGTCCATAATGGAAAGTGTATAATATTTATTTTAACGCAGATTGCAATATTTTTTGCATATGTAACTGATGGTATATACATATAAAAAAAGAAGGAAACTTTGAATTTGCAAAGGACATAGATGACTGGAGTAGGAGTGTAGGACGGTCCAAATAGACATAATTGGATTTGCAAAGGACTTGAACTCTCTCTGTCCAAGTTCCCCTAGTCTTGGAAGTGGACTCTATGGAAGCCCAGGAATGACGACATGCGAAAGCCCATATAAACAGTAATAATAATATATTACAAGGCCTAATATATTAGTTTTCATAAATTTAAAATTCAAGCATATGATTATTATTGTCTTGTTTCTTTTTTTTCAAAAAAAAAAAAAAAGTAGAAATATAAAAAGTGAATAATTGTTGTTGAAAATAAATCTCACCACTGATTTTCAATTTAGAGGCTGAAATTTTACAAATATAATAAATAATGTTTCACACAAATTTTATGCATTAAACCTTTTAATTTAAGAATATTAGAAATTCAATTAATTAAAAATTAGAAATTTAATAAGAAATTCATTTCTAATTTGTTAAATTATATTCAAAATACATAAATATTAGAAAGAAATTAAAAAATATTTTAAATTTTCCTTTTGAGGCTGCGTAACGTATTGAAATGGAAGTTTTTAAAGATGTGTACTAGTCCACTACGTACTCCTACTCCTAGTACCAGTCTAAGTTAAAAATTCCACTCACGGAATCATTTTTCAAATGGAGGTGCAAGTTATAAAACCTTCTTGAATTACCTTACTTTCACTGGATTATATTAGAATTTAAAAAATTAATTAATTTCACAAAATTCATAAAATTTCGTATGTTATGGTTTAATTAATGATATTTTTTAATAATATTAAATATTTTAAACTTCATAAAACGAACTTGAGTATCCTTAAAAAAAAGTTGAAATTAAATTATTAATATGTTCGGTAAAATGAACTGTTTCATCAAACTTTAAACGGAAAAATCTAACTACTAGTGCATCATTGAAAATTAATGCCATTATAGACATTATTATAAATTGTAATTTATTTTTTCTCCGTCAAATAAAAAAATTAGCAAATCTATAAAAAATCGAAATTTTATCATTCATCAATCCAAATATAAGGTTATGAATATCCAAAGATCCATGGAATATCTAAACGTGATTTAGACACGGTTGGTGAGTAATCAAAAAATCCTAATTGCACATCTGGAGCTTTCTTCTCCTTTATGCTATGTTCAATTATTCATAACAAACAACTAAATATCTTCTCAGTCTTATTGTCAATTATCGACAAAATATCTTGGAATTTTCGGTTGATCTTTCCATATTTTGAACGTATATATGTGGAAAATAATGTCTCGGATTTTGTTCTTTTTCGTCAAATTGGAGTGAATTGATTAATTAGATGTGGTCTAATTTGTTTTTACTAATGTGAGGAGTCTCGAGTTCAAATCATTTCGATCATAAGAGTTTTCACTAAATTAATGTGTTAAGGGAATGACTACTCTCTATTATTGTTGTATAATATATCGTGTTATTTCGGTTTATTGAATCTCTTAATAAATAAAAAAATAGAGTGAATTAAAAGGATAAAGTGAAAATTATAAAGAAGATTTTTTTTTTTTGGAGAACGTGGGAATTTATTCCTTTTGTTTAGTTGAAAACAACCAATTGAAAATGATTTTCCTTAGTCTAAGGAAACACTATTTACATCCTGTGTAGGAGGCTATTAAATACATCGAAATCAATTAAAATTAATTATTTATTAATTTTTTTTTTTTTTAAAATCAAGGATGTGTTAACTTGCAGAAAATTGAAGTAGTTTTTTAGAAAAATTTTTCAAGAAAACTGAAAGTAGAGTTTTGTGTTCAAATCAGTTAGTTTTCTATTTGGAAAATTAGAAAACAAATTTTCAATTTTACAAAATTTAACTAAGGTTTGCAACACCATTTTAAGTTGTTTTCCACAATTTTTCTTTGTGCCAAAAGACATTTTCATAATTGACGTTATAATATCTATAAATAATTTTTCTATAAAATATTTTTATTAAATAAATCAAAAATCTAAATAACATAAAGAATTATATTATATTTTTCAATTTTGTTACAAAACTTAAACTAAGGTTTGCAAACACCCTTTTAAGTTGTTTTCCACAATTTTTCTTTGTGCCAAAAGACATTTTCATAATTTTGACGTTATTAATATCTATTAACATAAGTTTTTTCTATAAAATACTTTTTATTAAAATTTAATCAAAAATCTAAATAACATAAAAGAATTATATTATAATTTAATATATTAATTAATTTTGTTATTACAAACTATATTATATCCTTTTATTTTTAAAAAAATTTACAAAAAAATTATTATTATTATTATTATTATTATTTATTATTAATTATAAATAATTCGATAATTAAAAATTTAAAAATTTTAAAATAAAAAATTTCAAAAATTTCTAAAGTTAATTTATAATATTTCATTTTAATTATATATAATGTTTAAGAAGTTTTTTAAATTAAAATATAATTTTTATATTATTACCAAGTGAATGGATTTTCCATTTTCATTTTTAAAAAAACTTTTTTTTTTAGAAAGCAAAAAATAGAAAATAAAAACTGTTTTTTATTAAATACACCCCTAATTTTTTACTTCAAACGAGGACATTTATAACCACTTATCAGAAAAAAAAGAATAAAATAATAAAATGTTTTTAAAAAACCTCGTCGTTGATGTATATATGAATTATACATTAATTATATAATAAATAGAATTAGTAAATTCAATTTCTAATTATGATTATATAAATTAATTATAATTATAATTATATAAATATATTTACAAAAATAAATTATTTATTGATTAATATATAATAATTTATAATATATAATCTATATAATATTAATAAAATAAGCAGTAATAATATTAATTATATTGCTAAAAAATAATAATATTTAATGTGTTACTTACTGATATACAAGTAAAATTTATTAATTTTTAAAATAATTCTATGAATATTTCCTATAAAAAATTTTCTATAAGAAATATTAAAAAATATATAAATAATAATAAATAATATAAATATAAACTATAAATAATATTTGGTGTGTAAATGGACCCATATATTGGAGTGTATTATAATTTTTATCCAATCAATCTTAAAGACACTTCATATCTAATATATAATTTAAATTATTTATTTATTTTTTAGAAAAATGAAAAAATAAAATAAATATAAATAATATTTGGTGTGTAAATGGACCCATATATTGAGTGTATATAATTTTTATCCATCAATCTAAATGACACTTCATATCTAATATATAATTTAAATTATTTATTATTTTTTAGAAAAATGAAAAAATAAAATAAAAAGATTATACCATTAGCCTTTTATAAATACTATGGGATACTAATAAATTTCAATATTCCAAGAATAATTTTTTTAATTTGCATATACTTGTCTCCGTATTCAGACCTGAGTTATATCCAGATAAAATCATTCTAACATTCAACAAAAGCAATTAAGTAATTTTGTAATTTACGTAAATCACCGTAATTAGTTAGAATCGTCTTGGAAAATAATTTTCAAAACGAAGCTTATATGGCCGCCACTCTAGACCAGCGCCAAAAACAGCCAAACCATCGTCCATCGTCCCTAACTTCCACTTCTATATAAAAAGCCATATCCATTAACTGGTTTAGACAACAAAAGAGGAAAAGAAAGAAAGAGAAAAAAAAAAAAGAAACAGCAATATCAAAATGGCATTTAAGGCAGCAATATTAATATCACTGATAGTGTCTTCAATGCTAGTAATTGCTCCTCATGTTTATGCAAAAATAACATGCGAGCAAGCAACTGCTCTGTTAACTCCGTGCATCGTGTACGGTGTTTTTGGCGGTGTTGTGCCACCGGCATGTTGCTATGGTGTTAAAAAGTCGATTGAACTCGCTAACACCACCGAAGATCGAAGGCTTAAATGCCAATGCGTCAAGGACGGTGCTGCTAATATCCCTGGACTCAATTATACTCGAGTTAATGAGCTTCCTGCTATTTGTGGAACTACTTCTCCATATATAGTTAGCCCTAAGACTGACTGCTCCAAGTATGCTTCTATTTCTTAAGTTATTGCTATGCGTTTCCATTTCTTTCTTTAAATTATAGATATACATACTTTTTTTATTATTATTTAACGCTTGTTGGAATCTAAAGTGGGAAAAACTTATTTGCACCGGTGTATATGGATATTAAACTAATTACAAATAACGTTTTGGTTCAAACGAGGGTATTTTTGAAAAAAACAAGACAAAAGATTAACATTTTTTAAAAAAATATTTTTTTAGATTAGTTTAATGCAGAGCACCGGACATATACAAAGTGTAGGCAAAAAATTTTCATCTAAACTCGCAACTATATAATCTTTGGAAATGACTTAGTACCACTATATATGTACAACGGAAGAGTTAAAAATATTTTTTAGTGAGTTTAATTGGATTAAAAATTTAAAAATTTTTCACATAACGGACACTTTTTAAAATTTTTTCATCAATTTAAACCTATATTATAAATATAATTGACCCCACTACAATAGCTATGACGCTATGAAATAATTACATTTATCTTAATATAATTTTAAATCTAATGACTGACAAACAAGTAGACTTTATAACATCAATTTACCCTATATATATATATATCATGTGATTTAGAAATGCTAATTAATTTATATGGGTATTATTATTATTTTTTTCAGGATACCATAGAACATAGAGGATTCGAGGTTATGATTCTAAAGTAGCTGGGAGGAGAATAATTAAAAGCTTGAAGGGTGTGGAAGAGTTTAACTATATATTGAAGAACTAGAGTTCTTCTCTGGTTATTGATTAGTACTGCAACAAAGACAAATAAAAAGCCAATGTTGTATCAATAAAATGGTACTTTTTGTAATTTGATTATGTTTACAAGATAATTAAGTATGAGAACAATATTTAATTGCTTGCTAATTGCCGTATAACTGTTTTAGTTGTGTTTAACTGTTTAAATAACTTTTCATGAAACGCTAAAAGTTAAACGTTACATGAGTTAATTTTTAAAAAATGCTATGCTAACCTTCAAAAACTAGTTCAAATATTATATTACAAAACAACTTTTGAAGTAGCATTCAAATCAGTGTTTTGATCGGTCAAAACTCTCAAAGCTATTCAAAATTTACATGCACATCAGCACCACATGTGTTGAAAAAAATTACATTTATTTTTATTTTTTGGAAAGTAGTAATTTTAATTCTTAAAATTTACGAATGAGTACATGTATTTTTATTATTATAAAACTATATATTTTCAATAAATTTTAATTATATTTACTTAAAATTAATATATAGACTTCCTCATATACTAAATTAATCAAATACTACAGCTGACATAAATAAGGATATTAATATTTTTTTGCAGAAAAAAAATACAATAAATTGTGACTTATTATATGAATGGCTTATACGTGTAAGGCAGTCTCATACCTTAAAATCGTATATTATATACGGAGAACAATTATATTATTCCACCACATCCATTCTACCGCCCAATCAAATAACGCCACGTTCAGATTTGAGATATGGAGAACAATTTTATTCCTTTCCTACTCAAACCATGCCCTGCCACGTTCTGTGTTGACCAATTTGTAAATTTAAAATATTTAATTTTCCTTGAAGTAATCCTGAACGAAGCGTCACATGACTCCCTCACTATCAGGCAAGATTTTTGCATAATCCCTTTGTTTTCAAGTAGTGCTGTCATAGTCCCTTGACTTTTCATAGATCCCATGGATGCAAAAAGTTCTGGTCTGCTAAAAAACCGAACTTTTTTGAAATTTTAAGGTAAATTTCACATATTTTAATCTTCAGCTTTTTAGTTAAGGGTTTAAACCACATTGTTAATAGAGGAATAACAAAACTACCATTCTCCATTGGCAAAAGTGTTGTTTAAGGTCTATTCGATAAAATTAATTATTTTAGTAACATTAACTGTTCTAGTCTGTTTTCGTAGCGTTGATTGTTTTACTCACGTTTAGTTTTTGGATTAGCTTTTTATAAAAAGCTAAAAGGTAAACATTGCAGAGATTAATCTTAAAATGCTACCTTATAGCTTTTAGCAGTAAAAGCTGTAAAAGCTACTTAACAAACTGTCATCGAACAACGCCCTAATGTGAAAACTGAAGTTTTAAGTCACCCCAAAACGTACAAGAATATAGAAACAATAGGAAAAAGAAAATGGGGAGAAATGAGGGTAGTGAGTAACTGTTATCAAAAGCTTCCAGGTTGGAACAAAAATAGGAGGCGATTGAGATCCCATTTTGAACAATCCAGGAAATGGAACGAGAATGTCCACGTTTACAAATGAAATGAGATACAAATGAATTGGACAACAATGTCACAACATCTTGACAGCCAAACGGGAATGACCTTTCATTCCCATTGAACCTAGCCCCATTGATGAACAAAATTTCATGTTAAACAAGAACTCGTACACGTTGCATCAAAACCTGGGTGCTTCCCTTTTTCTGGGAGAACCCTAAGAATAAACAATTAAGAATTGATCCCCACAACATGAAAAGAATGAATGATCAAATTAAAAAAGGGTACCTTCTCCAAGCGACTGGATGTCAGTCTATAAACACACACATGCCATGAACAAGTCAGCTAGTTAGCAGCTAGTTTTTGTCAAAATGTGGAACTACTTTCACTTGCAGAAAGCGAGGGGCCTTCTGACTTTACAATGTTTGGTGCTTTACTACTGATATCAAGCCCCTGTAGTCTGCCAAGAGGATCATTTTGCATCATTTCTGATAAAGCATGGGAATTTGTTTGATGAAGAGGGTGAGATGGCATACTAGGTTGGGAATGTGCAAGTGGTGGCAACTGCATATTTGGATGACCAGCAGGCCCTGGTTGTTGTGGATGTGGGAAAAAGTTAGATGGGGTGTATGGCATTTGGTGCATTCCCAAGTTGAACGACTCAGCGGGGCTCATTATTTCGCCAGTGGCAACTTTGAGTCTCTCGACTTCCTTCTTTAGCGCCTCATTCAGAGCTGTAGAATATCAAAATAAAAATAAAATTCACAAATATTTAGAAGAAAGATACAGCCAAGAGAAAGTAATTGAACATGTATCATTTATCAATATCATGTGGGCACTTACCATCGCGCAATTGAGCCTGTTGCTCCATAGCTTGAAGACGAAGCTTAAGCTCTGTATTTTCTGTGCTCAGTCCTGTTGTATCCCTCTATTTGAGAAAAAAAAAAAGCAGAACCATGGTCAGGACAATGACTGAACACCGTAAATCCTAGTGGAATATACAAGTCCCAGCTTGGTGGCACATTGATGTGAACTTTTTTTAGTGAAAAGGCAAATGCACAATGACATGAGAATAAATATAGACACAATGTTACAATTTAGAAGCTTCTGCATTGTACCATGCCTTCTGAAAAAGCCATTTTTGGACGAAGGTAATGACTATCAAGAATACGTATAAAATTTCATCCAGATGCAATGCCTCCTCCCCTCTTCCCTTTTCCCTAATATTGTAAATCATACTTTTATTTCTGTCCTGACGGAAACTTCTTCCTTGTGCAATCATGCATCAATGTTTTCTCTGATTAATATTGACACAATCATGTCACGAGTGAAGTACAATAATTACAAGTATGGTCACAACATTAACATTTTTGTATCACAGTGAAATGTTCAAACTAAGGTCATTAGCTCTTGCCTCCTGAATGCATGACACAAGGAAAGATCATATATGTGCTAAAGTTAAAAATGAACCTGGAATAAGGTCAGTTGGGCAGAAAGAGTGGTGGCTTCTGTTTGAAGGGTCTGAACTTTGCGCTCAAGCTCTAGAATATATCGGGCCTTCCTCTCTTTAGAACGAGCAGCAGACTGCCGATTAGCTAGTATCCTGTATGCAAAGACCAAGACTTTTGAGCATAAGTAAACCAATTTTAATATAAAAAATCTTTAAAAAACAAACACAGAGATCATACTACACGATTACACATCATGGTATTAGTATGTGTTCATGGATGTGTATAGATTTCAATTTTTGCATATTTGCCAGCATAAAACTTCGAAACTAATATATAAAAATTCAAAAGCAAAATAACCTTAACAATAAAAATGAGTATTCACAGGAACATCACAATTTTCCTTTTAAATTAACCAGGGATGCCAAATTTATCATGTCATTTTAAATGATTTCTTTAACATTACAACATATTGCTTCCTGAAATTTGCTTGAAATTCAATTTAACACTGAATTTTATTTTTTTAAAAGAAAATCTCTGAACCAAAAGAAAAAACTAACCAAAGAATCATACTTTCAGGCTCAGGAAACTTGAGTAACAATTCAATTCAATATACAATTGCATTCTCAAAATGATAAAACCATAATTTCCATAATTACAAAGTTCAAGACGTTAGATGACAGAACTCCAACACAGGGAAATTCAAAATATTAGGTGAAAATCTTACCTTTTTGCTCTTTTTGGATCAATGCTCCAAAGCTCTTGTAACTTATCAGGAGGCATAGCTTTTTTAGCCTCCATTACGTCTCCATAAACGCTTCCGTCAACGGAGTTGCTATGCCTGTGCTTTGGCCTCGACGTTGAAGTAGAAGCTCCTCCTTTATCTCCATTACCTTCACCGTTGTTGTTGTTGTTGTTATTGTTATTACTCTGATCCGTAGAGTTGCGCCCATCTCCGTTAAGCTTATCGACGTCAATATAGGTAGAAAAGAGGTCGTCCTCTGACCCGATCTCCTCGAGACTACAAGCAGAAGATCCGCCACCTTCATTTCCACCTCCACCGCCATTGATCGGATCAGAAGGCGACAGACCCATCATCATCATAGTCATGTCGTCCGGCAATCGGAAGCTCATCTCGGAGTGGGCCCTCCTATGGTGGGGCCCGGGTCGAACACTGAACATTGACGTCGATGAATGTGAATTGGAGAGAGGAATTCTAGGAGCGAGAGCATTTTGCGGATTTGGATCAGAATTGAGATTGGGATTGGAATTGGAATTAGAATTAGGATTGTGTTTGGAATGTGGATCTTGGATTTCCATCGACATTTGCGTTTGTTATTTTTAGTAATTCTCTTCACGAGATTTGGGATTTCTCTCCATTAATAGCTTAGCGCTTTTCACTGGTTCTTAATAATAAGGTTTGGTTTTTTCGGCTGCAGTTAATCAATCAACAGTAATTTTAAACGGTACAGCGAATTTTACAATATCGTTGTACGGTGAGCAAAATTACCGACCGAACTCAAAACTGAACTGACATTTCGATTGATTGATTTATTCAGTTTAAATCAAATTTGATATTCGATTTGAGTTGATTTGATAAAAATTCATAGGTTGGACTGAAAATCATATCGAAATAGTAAAAATTGAACATAAGTGATCAAATTGATTGGCTCAATACAAATATCAATTTCCGCAAAAAAGTTCAATTTATATCTTATGGCCTTGGTTCGGTTTGAACCGAACCTACCCTTTGCTCACACCTTACTTAGCCATATATTCTTTTTTTTTTTTGAGTATAATATATTAAGATCTTATTAAAAGCTTCAAATCAATATAAATAATGCAGAGAGGATTATTATAACTAAAATAATTATTGTTCGCTGATCTAATAAAAAATTTTAATGAAAATTGGAAAGTAAACTTGAAAAAATTAATAGATATTTAAAGTGACTGGTTAGACAAATTCCCTAAATATTCTATATACGGCATAATATCCATGAACGAGTTGTTTATGATGAGCATAGAGAATTTGAACTACTAAATCCAATGGAGGAATAGGCCGCATTATCAAGCTTCAAAAAACAAAGATCATCGTGTATATAAAAAATTATCCACAAATTGCACATTTGGCCTAATAAATCAAAACAAATGCAAAAAATAAAATAAAACCTCCACACAAGATGGAGAGATCACAAACTCCACACAAGATGAAGATAAACCATAAAAAATAGCAAAAACATCGATAACTTAGATTTGTGCTAAATAGTTATAGATTTGTACCTTATTTAACAAAAAAAATAAAAAATAAAAAATTTACAATGAAATAAAAAATAATAGAGAATGGTTGTCACAAGAGATAAAAATCGGCCCTTCCTATTGCTTAGTTTTTGTCTTTTAACGGAGAAAAGAAAACAAAATTGTAACGAAGAAGGAAGACAAAAAGGAGCGCAGCCATATTTATTTCAAACTTTAGGATTTGCGATAATTATATTATATTTTTATTTTTTTTATTATTACATCCCAATTTAATACTTAACAAGCTAGTAGATGAGACTAAACAACTCTAATTTAATAGTTTAGGGCAATTTTATAACTTGTTATGCATATATTTTTCTATTATTACATCTAATTTAATAGTTTAGTTATGATTGTACCCTTAAAATTCTCTCTTTCACTGAAAATCTAAAATCTAAAAGCTCTCTTTTCTTCTTCTACGGGAGACCATCGGTGGTCACCTCTTTTTCTTTTTTTATTTGTTTTCTTTTTGCGAATAATCCTCAGATCTGTATACAGATTTGAGTTATTATCGCCCAATATTGAGATTTATTGTTGCCAATATATTGAAATTTTATTTTCAGATTTAATTTTGAGTTATTGTTATCACTATTATGATGATTGTGTCTAGCTTCTTTTATTATTTGGATATATGCAAAAAAAAAAAAAAGTGCAGATCTCCTCTTGAATAGAAGAAAGAAATTTGAAGATAATCAGATCGGACTCGTAGAAAGACTATGGAGTCGAAAAGTGGCAATGAATAGCCATCAAGTGGAGCAAGCGATCGCAAACAAATATTATACTCTGTCAACTTAATCAGATACTTCAAATGAAGATTATATTTTTTATTCTCTGTATAACCAATTTATTATTAGACTTTTTATATAAAAATAAGCGACTCGCAAACAAATTATTATACTCGTCAACTAAAGTTTCAGATACTTCAGAATGAAGATTATATTGTTTTTCAAGTATAACCAATTTATATTAGGACTTTTTATATAATAATAAAAAATATACATGATATAACTTCATATCTATATAAGTTCTATTTATAATTATTTTCAGTCTTATTCTTAAAAAAAAGTTATTGATCTGGTTTACTCAGTCAAAATATATTAGTTAAGAAAACTGAGATGGATGAAATATGAAATAAATTTAATAATGATACTGAAGTAGTGCCTGTTGCGTGTGTTTATGATAAGTTTTTTTTTTTTGTTTTGTTCTTGATAAAAATAATACAAATACCTTGTTTTTTAATACGTTGATTTATTTTTTTTCTTCTATTTAGAAACTATTTTTTAAAATAAAAAAAAATTTGTTCGAAACCTGCAAATATGGTTTCATTAATGTCTTTTTGTTTTTTATTCTATATTCCTTTTTTTTCTCATTTTATAAGACTTGTCCTCATAAAAGTTGTACTTATTGTGATTATTATTATTATTATTATTATTGATTTTTAATTATTATTATTATATTATTATTTTCTCTATCCATATAAATCTAATGTCATTTATTTATCCAAAATATATAAGCATTAGTTTTGTTATCTCTATTAAAATTCTACGTTTTTTTTTTCCATCTCTTCTCTGTTTAGTATTATTTTTATATTTATCATTATTTTCTCTATCCATATAAATCTAATGTCATTTAGTATTATTTATTTATTATAATACTTGGATATTATATTTTATTCAATTGACTGTATATAAAATAATCAATACTTAATTTCATTTTGAATTTAAAAATTAAAGTGTGAAGTATTTTTAATTATTTTGTCTTATATTTTATATTTTTAGATTTTTTTATTATTAAATAAAATCTTTAATGGCTCAAAGAGGGAGAGATTTGATAATTGGAAGAATTTTTCACATCATGAACTAAAAGAAATGAAAAAATAATTTTAGAAACAAAAATAGTTTTGAGAAAAATAATCAAAAATTAAAAACAACTTTATATTTCTAATAAATAAAAAATTAAAAACAAAAAACTGTGACAAACGGGTATAACATTATAAATTTTTTAAATGTGAGTCTGCTATTGACTAAGTGTATGAATTATAGATATACCTAGAAAAGTATTTTTCTTTTATTACTTATCACAATAAAATAATTAATTTTTACTTCTTGCAATGAAATGAGAATGGAATGGGAATTCATATTTGGATGTTCTGATATATAGAAATCCTGATTGCATTCCTTTGTTTTATTATAGATACATGAGGAAGAATGGAATTGGAAAAATCATTATCGATAGAATTTGAACAATAAAATTTAAACATTTTGTAGATTTGCTAGATTCTTCATTTGGTTGAAAAAATAATAAAATTTATGAAATTGATAAATACCATTGTCTATAATTTTCACTATTTTAAAGGTGAAACTTTATAAATTTCATTATTTTTTTATTAATGATTAATTTTTTTTATAACTAGGAGGTACAATCCGTTTCAGGTCGTAAAGTGTAAATGTCTTTTACCCTCCCAGCAAAGCCGGTTTCACGGGATTTGAACTTGTATTTTCAGTCTTATGAGAATTTAAGTCGCTTAACCTCAACCAATAATTTATTGGTAATGATGAAATTTAAATCACTTAATTTTGTATTATAAAAGTATTTTTCAAATCTATTGATTCTGTTTCTTCAAGCCAATGACATGGAATGTAAAATTACATTGATTTCATAATTCATGGATTTTGTGAAATCCATATACATCTCTTGGATTCTGAAATTAATGAATTTCACTTTCTATATATAAATAAAGGTTTACTATAGTTTAATTTATTCAACGAAAATATATGGAATTATAAAAAACTCTTAATTTCCGATGATTTTGTTTTGTTATGTTATATTTTATTCCACTTATTTTTCTTTAACTTTTTATTTTGCAGTGAAAATAAAATCATAAATCTAAAGTTATGATTTTAAAAATTATTTTTATGAGGTTATTATTATTATTTTGAATTGTAACGAAACTTAATTATTGTTTAGCATTTAAAACTATGTATATTACTTTAAAAATACATATAAATAATTTAACTTATTTATTCTATCAACATATTTATTTGAAAAAAAATATAAACTAAAGTAAAAGAAATTAAAATTTGGTACAAAAATTGAAGAGGCATCTTAGATATTTGAAATGAAATAAGGGTATGTTTTGTTTTTGAAAAAAAAAAAAAAAGGATAACAATGAAATAAGGGTATGAGATGGATTGTGCGGATGGATGGTTATGCCTTTCGTTCTCCCTTATGTGACTTACGAATCAAGAGTTTTCATTAGTAAGTGTATAGTTGTTTATTCTAATGACATACTAATATCATTTTTATATAATTTTCATATAATTTTAAAATCTAAAAAGACAACAAAAATTATATGCCAATTGGAAGAAATGTCATTTTTTAACTGACAAGGTAGTATTTTCTTGGATATGTGGCGATAAGTAAATGAATTGAGATGAACACTAGTAGTAAAGTTAAAGCTATAACTAATTGGGCTGCACCTCAATCAAATATATAATATTTGAAGTTTTCTTGGTTTGGCGTTTTCATGTTAAATCATTTTATTTTCTTCTTCTTGAAATGGAAAATAGTTGTTAGCTATATTTCTTATCCATTTATCATCATGTTTAACAAAGTTGTGACATAATGAAACAAGAAAAATTTTCTTTTCTTTAAGATATACAGCAACGGTTTGACAATGATTGTGATGTTTGAAACAGATAGAACAAAAAGACAAGATGCACTTATTGATAACCTGCAAGACATGTTCTTAATGTTTATGGAAATAATAATATGAGTACGAGGATATTACGCTACGTTCTCAGTAAATAGTGATAAGATCGATAGAATTATTATTGATGAAAATAGTTGTGTTTATATAGTTTCCACTTATTAAACGGAAAAACAACTAAATAAAAAATCTGATTTACTGAAGCTTTTGATCCACACAAAAAAATAAAATAATAAATACTAGTAACTAGTTGATATTATTTTATTTTTATCCATGTTTAAAAAACTCAAATTTGCATCAGAAGCCAACCAATTTTTCTTTC